TGCTTTTAGTGCTTTTATTTGGTGCGATTGTGAGTTTCAACGCACCTCGATTTTGTCCGTTTGTTTATGTAATTCTCAACAGCTGCAATTGTCTTTAAATCAATTTTTACAGACATTATCTCGAACTCTTCACAGGAATCAAAGTTTTGTATTAGATTACATTCTTTTTCTGAGCTAGAATAATCGTTCACAACCTCGTTTACTTGCTGCGATTGACACATCTTAGAGAAATGGTTCGGTTTGTTGCAATTCTTATAGGACTTCCCCATCGCAGGGCAGCTTTTCAGGTGTCCCTCCTCGAATGGTCTTCCGCATCTTGTGCACTGTTTCTGATCCCCCTGGGACCGTGTGTTATTTCTGTTTTTATAGGTTTTCTTTTGGTTTGGTCTCGACTTTGTCTTCTAGGGTTTTGACCATTGTTCCCAATTGCCATGATTGCTTCCTGTTTTGTTTTGATTTGTGAACCTGAGAATGGACCTGTACTAATCGTACTCATTGATGATTTTTTCGAAATGCTTGTGTGTTTGTTTGGTCTGTTCGAATTTTATTGCTCGTTTCAGTACCTCTTCCGGTGTGAACGTTTCGAACGTTAACATGTGTTGCAGTACAACATTTCTCATCCGGGATATAATTAAATCGCTAACAAGTTCTGCCTCCAGTTCTCCTACTTCCGCTTTCGCTGCTTGTGCAGACAACGCCGCATGAAACAATTCCAGAGTCTCAATCATTTCATGCGATCTTGTGAACAATTTGTATCGCTCATAGGTGACGCTTTTTGTTTTTTCGAATGATTTTTTTGCCAATCTCACCATTTCTCTGAGCTCCACTTTGGATATTTCCGTGTGTGGATTTTTTTGTACGAATCTCTTTTTCCCTTCTGTGCCGAGGGCTAGATATAATCTGGATGTTAACCGTTTTTCTATTTCATGATAAAATAAGTTGTGCCCTACTTTCGGTTTTCGTGCATTACGTTCTTCATTTTCTAAGATGACTTTATCCCGTAATAATTTATCTCGAGCTTCTCGTTCTGGTATTGCCTGAGCACCTTCACCTGTTTTCGGCGTTTCCGTACGTGGAAGTGGTTCTTCTAATACTGCTTTTGGGTCTTCTAGTAATACTTCCGGAATCACGTTTTCTTTAACGGTAACTGCTAGCAGGAATTGGTCAAACCAAATTTTGAAGTTCCATATTGGATCCAAGTTTGGTGAAGTCCAGAAAACAGGAATTCCCATGTCTGTTCTGTTGTCTTGAGACAGGAATCTTGCTGGCTGCTCCATATGATACCAAGTAGAACGATGTTATTCTGTAACTTAAAAACGATCTAGGTTTCAAAAATTTAAATTAACTATCGAAACCATGTTTTCATAATAGCACCTGAATCGTGCGTCTCACTGAGTTTGATGACTACAGTACAGAGAACTGAGTCTCTTTGTTTTAAGGTCAGTGGTCACACAAATTTGAATGAATTAATAACAATCATAATGTTTATAGATAACAATATGCAAATACTTCCGAGTCTGTAGTACTGTTACTGCAAGTGCAGTTGCAGCTGCTATACCACACTGTGCATGTATTTAAAAAAGCAAATTTTTAAAAAATGCAAAAAAAAATAATTTCCATCATAGACGAAGTGTTTTGTGCTATAGCACAAAACATTTCGTCTCGGATGGATTTTTTTTACTTTTCAAAAATTCTATTAGTTAAGTTTTATCTTATTCCTAAGAAAGAGGAAACTAAGTAAAATATTGTAAAACATGATTCAAATAAAAGTTAAAAAAACCTTACATTTTTTTATGATTATAAACCTACTAGTTTGCATATATTTGCTCAATATTAGACAAAACGTCTATTTTTCTTAACTCTGAGAAGAACTTATGAATTTTTTAACATCTTCCGATTACAAAAAGGAGGGATTGAAATGGCATATCACTCAACATGTTCAACATACCATTCAACCCGTTCAAAAAAGAACCAATTTTGTTAATTGCGCGTCGTGAAAAAGAACAAAAAACCCCATTTTCCATTTTTTTGTTCTCGTGTTCTTTTCCGACTAAAATTTCTGAAAATCAAACGATAAACAGATTTTTTAATATAAAAATTTGGTTTTAATTTCCTGCATTACAAAAAATTGATCGTAAAATGATACAATTTTTAGTTAAAATAGATTTTGAAACTGTATAAATGAGTAAATATATAGCAAAACTACAAAGCTTATAACAGAACGAAAAGCCAAAAGTTTTGATGACACTTTCACTCCAATTTTTTCGTTCCGACCATTGAAAACTGTGGAAGAATTTCGTTTTTGGATGTCTTTTAGTTCTTTCTAGGCAAAATCAGGTACCACAAAGAAACATCGAACTGAGTCGAGTGAAATAATAGAGCTCTTTTAGTCGTGATTTTAACGACAATTAAAACTATCCAAAAAATTTTACCTCTACAAAAAACAAGTTTGAAACTTTTGATTTTTCGTCTAAATTCGGGCGAATAAAACGAGCGAGCATAAAACAAGCTTAAATTTTCTGATGTCAAAAAAAATCTAGCTCCTCCTTTGAGAACAAGTTTTAAAAAGCCAGCAAAAAAAAATTGTAAATAAATTAGAAACAAATTTCGAAAAACTTTTAGATTTTTTCAAATATTTATTTTATATAGAACTAATTTACTCAATTTGATTTTCCCATCAAAATTCTAAGTAGACCATGCTTCAAATTCACAGATCACCAGATCACGCCAAAAACAAAAAACGACGCTTTTTGAAAGAGGACTCTTTGTAGCTTTTTAATAAATATGGTCAGAACATTCTGTGCTACTTGCACAGCAACCCGCTATCTTTTTTGCTATACAATTTGATGAAAGTTTCAAAACTTAGATTTGAATATTTTATTTTTCATGTCGCATTTAGCGTCTAGCAACGTGTTAATGAGACAAAAAAGCATGTCTCAATTCAATGTGGAGTAATTTCTAGCCGCATCGAATTGCAGTTTACGCGTTAACTGCACGTTGAACTTCCTCATATTTATTAAAAATGATCACAAGAATTTTGAACTTAAGCTGTGAACTCAGAACATTTATTACATTTTAGATAGTTTCTAAAATTCTACACAAAAGGAGCTAGCTAAAAATTCAAAGCTTGCCTCATGATAAAAACAATACTGTTCGTATATCAAGATAAAGCTCTGAATAATCGTACTACCCTGTTTTTGATCTCATTTAGTTTCGGAGAAAGAAAAGTTATATGAATTATAGGTTTTCAATTGTTTGTTTTTTGTATCCTGATAACAACAGTAAATAAATCAGTTGTAAGCTTGGGTTGTAGAGGGATGAGATATGACCAATGAGATTGGCTCGATTCGTATTTGTAGCAAAATTGAAAGCGATATTAATTTTTTAACGTGGGATTAAATTAATCCAGAACATTGCCAAAAGTTTTACCAAAAAAACGACTGTAGCTAAATATATTTTACGTCTTAATATCTTCATTGGCTTACAAATTTTTTTTGTTAAAAATTTATGTTTGGTGTGAAGTAGAAAACATTGCAAGCATATCTACTTCTACCTTTTTCAAAACAAATCAATTTCTACGCCAAAATGGAAAATTAGAACAGCAAAAACCAAATAGAGCAAAACTTGACAGAACACTGTACAAACCGTAAAAAAAACAATCTGCGTGAAACGCAACAAAAAAAAAACAAGTTAACCGTATAAAAAGTTATCCAGTTCTAATTTTTGAACACTCCCATCTATTTATAGAAATGTGCGAGGGCATATTTAGAATTTTTCAAGGTGGGGCGGATTTTGAAATGAATTTAGAAAATTTTGTCGGTCTTTTTTTTCGGTCGACCAAATTGACTTCTTAAGCTCTCCCAAATCATTACAAAGACTCCATTTTGACAAAACTTTTTGCGCCGTACGCAATTTTTTTTTTGCAAAAACAGGCCAAAAAAGCGTTTTAGGGACTTCTTGGAAAAATTTGACCAAAAAGTTGCGTTTTTTCGGCGTTGCGCTCCCACCTCAAAATTGGATAAATTGGCTCCCTTAGAAATTTTTTAGAGTGCGTCATCCAAAAATGGATATTTCAAAATAGTGCAAAGGGGGATCCTTTGGGTAGGCAGGTGGTCGAATTCCTGAGGGGGGAAGCGTATAATTATAATTACAATAATTAGGTGTTTAAAGGACTTATAATTGGTTATAATCGTTATATTTTTCCAAGAGATTATAATCTCCGATAATCGATTATAATTGAAAACCCTTAAAATCAATTCTATTCGATTATAATCGATTATAATCTCTTATTTTGCCGTAATTTTGTCAATTCAAAACTAAAGTCGAATTATATCTTATGAGTTTTTATTTTTGTGTCAATAAAAAAATCTCTAAGAGAGAGATCTCTTGAACACTTTGGTTCATCTGAACACAAAGTTTTACCACGAAACAGAAGTTTCATAGAGATTCTTTCATATGAGTGGAAAGGTATCCGCGGTAGATGAAAAAAAGTCTTCCGAATCAATCATGAAACTAAATCAATTTGCTAAAGTTTTGGTGTTTAAAAAATCTTAAAATATGCATCACAAAACAACTCTAATGGTGAAGAAATTAAAAAAAAAACTTTTAAATTTGAATTAATTGGAAAACTTTAAAAATGTTTTTCTCATTTTTCATAGGAGCTAACGCCTACAAAAAGCATAAAATATAAGCTATTTAGATGCAATTTCGAAGACAAAATGGACAAACAAAAGGGATTATAATCAATTATAATCGATTATAATGGATTTTTGTGCAAAACTAATGAACTAGAAATTTGAATTAAAAAATGGATTGAAATCGATTATAATTGATTATAATTGCATCGAAAAATAGGCGAATAAATAATTGATTATAATCGATTATAATGCATTATAATTAATTATAATTTGATTTTAAAAAGAGAGATTAGAATCGGTTTTTAATTGATTAAAATCGATTGTTTCTCAATGTTAGTAAGACTGGTACTAAAATCGTAATATAATCAATTATTAACGCTTGAAACTGGATGCGGGAATATTAATTTGAATTTTTTTATAGGACAAAATAGTGTCTGTTCAAATCATCAATTGGTACATGATATAAGTTTTTTATCAATTTTGTAGAATTTTCAGTTTGTTCACGCATCAACTTGTTCACATTTTTGTTCACGCACCATCTAGCAGGACCAGTAGATCTTCCTGCCCTTCAGAGGCTGAACAGCCCTGTAGTTGGCATCTATCTTCCCGCCTCTCAAATCTCCCAACTTTCTCAATTTATCCATATAGCTTTTCGACACCTAAAAATAGAGATATCGATTGTGCTTCTAAATCCAAAAGCAAAGCAATTGAATGACGAGCGGAAGAATTCGTTCGGAAATAAGTCCGATGAGCTGGCGGAATACTTGTGAAGCGCCAATGTTATGCAAGTTTAATTTTTTACTCCAAATTCGATTCCGAATAGCACTTTTAGTAGTTTTTGAGGCTCAAATTTACACACGTGAGCAGTTTTTTTTGTCTTCGGACATACTCATTTTTTGTACACGTTTATGTGGAGGAATGGATGATTGAAGAAAAGTTTAAAAATTACAAAAACTCCATCTGAAAAACAATTTGATTGAGTGAGTATCAGAAAACTATTTTGATATGGACTCTTTAACCAAAACGAAAAAAAACACGCCCAAACAGTAAAAAAAATTTCATTCAATTACTTTCAGGAAATAAATTATATGCGTATTAAATTTTAGAACAATAAAATTTTTGTAATATGGGATTTTGGGAATCAACGCCCAAAAAAGGGAACCGGAGCCTCAAAGTTGCGCAAAAAAACTTATTTCACATGAGCATCGGTTACCTTTTTGAGCATCGATTCCTGAAAACCTGTATTGAAATGGTTTTTGCTGCTCTGAAACTTTTCAATGTGAACAAGCAAACCAATTCGGAAAACAGTTCTTGCGCAAAAAATGTACAATGAAAAATTTCTAGAAAAAAACTGTATTGAAGTTTTACGACTTTCAAAACCCATTTTTGCTTATAAAAAACTGTTATAGTAAGATTTGTATATTTTTATATACTTCTATGGCGTCTCTGAACACTATGTGCAAGACTACTTCTGCGAAGGGGGGAGTGGTGAGGGATCCCTGGTAGGCGAAGTACTCCGAGGATCCATGAGGGACCAGGGAGGCGAAGTTGATTGCGGGAATCGACACAGATCCCGGTTTGGTGACCTGGAAAAAAATAAAAGTTACAACTTTTCGTTAATATTTGAGAAGTAGCTATTATATAAGTTCGATATGGTCTAAAATTATAGTCATGGCCACACCTGGTCATACATGGTCATACCTTTGTTTGAAGTCACCCACTGTCTGTTGTACGAAAAAAACAGTGGATGACCTCAAAAGTGGCATAATCATGTATTACTATGAATATACAGAGGTTTTTGTGCCTTTTTTCTTTTGCAAAGCACCCTGCTAATCTTTACTGTTATATTTTTCTTCCAAAATGTCTATAGAAATCGACCCGCTGAAAAATTTTAGGCCAATCGAAATTTTTTTTAACTTCAAATTTAATCCTCCTGTAAAATCATTCGTTAGTTTTTATAATTGAAGCTGATGCGAAGTGAGGAAAAAGAAAAAAGCCGATTTTTCCAAAAATAAGTATTAGCAGTTAAAAAAACATACGGCATACAAAATACAAACAAATTAAACCATAGTATCATTTTTTCTTCTTACAATTGCGTTATCATATACAATGTTTTATCATTGTGTAACCAAGGAAATATTATTCGATGACCTTATGAATGTGTTTTCCGATGATGTCATCAAATGACCTCTGAGCTAGGGGCTCGGAACGTTCTGTCTCTTCCAGCATAATACCCCACACTGCCGCTTGGTCCTCGCAATCATGACCTATTAAAAAGAAACACTCAATTTTTTGAAGATTTCTGAATATGCTTTTTGGTTGATGGACTCAAATAGAAAATAGATGAAGTCAAAAATCCTTATCATCGACTGCATTCAATTTTTAGTCTATTTAAAGAGTCTGTATCTTCTATTTCAATTTTAAAATGTCTAAAAAAATTTGTGGTTATATTCATTCTCCTTGATAATTTAAATATTTTTACATTTTTAATTTTTTCATTTTTCATTTTTCATTAAAGCTGGAAAAGATATTCAATTGAACTTCTAACCTAAAGATTTATTTAGAATATATTGAAATTTGTAATCTAATTGAACAATTCGAAAAGTGTGACCTTGGCCTGGTGCCCACTTGAACACGAAGTGAGTCTCTCCCGCGAACTTCTGTCCCTCTATCAAGTGTTCACACCCGTAGTCCCCACTCTCCCCCCAGTGTGTGTGGAAGTGGTCCAGAATGTACTTCCCTAATAAATTCACAATTTACTCATAAGGAAAATCTAACAAAATGTCTTTCGGAGATCTTGCCTCCTTTTAAACTAATTACGGTTATGATCTTTAGATAAAAAGACTTCGATAAAATTCAGCAACAAGGAGAAGAAACTATCGTTGATTATTAGTCATTAATGAAAGCTGAGGCAGCTGGCAACTCACTAGCTGCAAGTTTCTGGCAAGTTTTGTACTTTTGTACTTAACCATGAATTGTAAGTATTTTGCATTTACTATTTTGAAAATGCAAACATAAGACTAGCAGGATATAAAAGTCAACTGATTACGTCTTTCCCAAGAACCCGCAAGATTGTTTTGAAAATGCCTGAGTTTCTGGGAAAACCGCGGTTGTGCCCCTGGTTAAGACCTATATTCAATTTTTTGGCTATTTTTGTGGGCTGGGTAAAGTTGTTTCACCTTCTAGCAACGAGCACGGATCATGGTGAGCCTCGAACATCCGACCATTCGATTTCAAGACACTAACCATTTCGATTTCTAACCACTTCAAGACACGCTTCACTATATTACCTTACCTTTTAGAAGACTACCCGACAGTTGCCATTTCACACCGCTAGGGGGAGCAATACTCAAAGTATGCCCATTATTAGTCATGGTCCAATCCGCTTTCGGGTCCCCCGCAACGCAGCTTAGTCGGAAGTGGGGCAGCAAAACCTTCTCGGCTTCTTTTTCCCGAATGTCGATTGGAGATTGCCTATTTCCCTTTATGGAAACTGGGAATTGTTTCGGCCAGCAAAACTGTTCGTTGTGGTGCCACGAATTATCGAAACTCATTTTGAAGAATTTTTAAATTAATTTCAGAAAAATATGTGTTTATAAAGAAAATTACAGCAAATGAATTGCCAAACTGAAGGCTAAATTTTTTTGACTGTTTGCTTAGATTCGTGAAAGTACATATAATGAAGACTTTTGAGCTCGTGATATATGTTTGAGAAAAACAGATTAATGATTATTTTTTTGTTTTGCAGGTTAAAAAATGTGACTGAGAAGGCGTTTTCAATAAACTGTGGTTAACTTATCTGATTGGTCGAATTTAACTTCATAAACTTCATAACTTTTTACTACTCTCGAGTTTGTTGTTTTCATTGCTTGATATTAGTTGATATTTAATTTGCTTACAAAACATCAGTTCATGTTGAGCGCTTGGTTTGCTCTTTAATGAAAAACTGCACAAGGTGTGACCAGGGCGTGCACTTTTTATCAAACAAAAAACGACATAGCATGTTTTTTTCTAATGGAAAAAAATAAATTTTGTACTGAAAACCGAAAGCGTGTAGACAATTTGGTTTCGCGATGGATTTTGTAGTCAACATTAGCTGCTAGAAAAAGTCGTTTCACAGAGTTGATTAATAATACTCAAAAATTCTGAAATAAACTGGGAGGCAAGAAAAACTCTGATTTTCACTGGTTTTCAATATATTTTTATCTCCAATTTGTTTTCATGAAATTAACTCTTTTATCTCAAAATACAAATCAAGTGAATGATTTCAAACATAGCAATCATTTATTGCATAAATGGCGTGGCCACGTTCTCAAAACGAAGTTTTAGAAACACGCGTTTTGTAAAGCAGCGCGTACTCTTTGATCCAGTTTGATCCCATCACATTAAACATAGCTTATATGTCGTTTGTGATACTAAATCTGAAAATAACATAATCATGAATACAAAAAGTTCAACTGAAAAAAAAATTGGGTTGACCTCACCTGGCAAATGTGGGTTGACCTCAAAAAGGGTAAATGTAGATTGACCTCAGAAAGGGCAATCTATCAATTTTTCAGTGGTAGTTTCTAAAATATTCATCAAAACAGAACAGAGTTAATTTACTTGCTCAGTTTTTAACATGGAATCGATCTAGATTACAATTATGGTTTCTGTAGAGGATCTATCAAAGACTAAGCAGCAGCCTGTCTAAGGATATTTCGTATCTCTTATTTCTCCACACTCCAGACAGTTATTTTGATAAGCTTTTCTTTTGCGACTTTAAGTCATTTTTGAGCATTTTACGAATATCAGACCATCAAATAAAGTTTAGCTGTTTGAGCGTCTAAGCCACAGTTTCATCGTTAAACAATTCTCAAAAATGTTCCTAAATCACAGAAGTCTCAAAAGCACGAAATCGTTTTTTTTTTGTATCAGGAAGTTTTAACCATCTTAGCATCTACAGATTGTCATCTGAGAAGCCTCAAATGGAAGGGAGTTAGGAGTTTTTTTTCAGGAAGTTTTAATCACCGTAGCATCTCTACGGATTGTCATCCGAAAAGCCTCAAATGGAAGGAAAATAGGAAGCGTCAAAGCGCAAAAAAAGGAGAGATGAATAGCCATTCAGGAAAAAGTTTCGAAGATTTTTGTATTGAGAAAATATCCACAGAGTGTGGATGAAATGATTTTGTAAAAACAAACACATAAAAACCACATAAGACTTTAAAAAATATATTGTACCCAGAATATGGCAATGACCAGTTTTCAAAGATATCAAAGTTCTGCTCAATCAATGTATTTAAGGCTATATTCTAATGCCTTTTGCATTTTTCGCGCATTTTAAATGAGCGTACCATTGCGCTTCAACTATTGACTTAATCTTGCCATGAAAGTGTGTAACTATACCATAATTTCTTAAACCCAAATGCTATGAAGTTTCTACTATGGCGTGTTAGTCTTAACGCCAAGCTATCGCTCGGTAACTCTTATGCAAACATCATTTCATAGAATAATTTGATTTGATCTAACTCGGACTTTTGAAAGCTCGGTTACTTGCAATATATTTATCGATAAGGTGCATTAAATAGCCCTTTCTATTATATTCAATTCTGAAATCATGTAGCTATTAGACCTTGAGTTACAACTGACAGTTTCGACCCATACCAATTTTTTTAATCTAAAAGTTACTTGTTAATTGAATCGAAAAAAACCTGCTTAGCTCATTTAAGAGGTCATCAACTGTCATTGTTCATTGGTCATTTCCATTCTTGCAACTTATTGTGCTAAACCGCACACTATATAGTTATAACAAGTTATAAACTTTTTATAATAGTTTTAAGCTATAACTGGCGACCAGTAGGCTGCAACCATGAATTGATATGATGAATTTCATCGTAAAAACGCATCAATAAGGTTTAATAAAATCAGAGAATCCTTCCTTGCGCCTTTTCATTACTTTTGCTATTAACCAGGGGGTGAAATCCAGTTACAAATCAGATAAATTACAAATCAGTTATAAATTATAACTCGGATTGATTACAAGAATGGGTCGTGAAAAAGCGGCCTTGTCTGTGGTGATTCTTCTGATCCAACTGTGTGTCATCAGTTTCACAGTGGTGAGTGTGACTAGTCCCAACTGGGGCTACCAGTCCAGTGAGTCCCCCCTCAACAGAGAAGATATAAGAGAGGTGGAGATAGGACTCTTCAGATTCTGCGACTCGTTGGTAAGTTAAAAACCATTAAGTTAAGAACCATTAAAACATTTGTATTTAAGATGATAATTATAATAATATTATTATTTTTAACTCAATAGCCAAGCACAGATTTCAGATTTTTCCATTAAGCAGCCTATTTTTCCTTAACCCACTCCACCTTGACAAATCTAATTTTCCATTTGCAAAGTAATTTTACATGTTATTATTACTAAAGTTTGTGATTTTTTTCTACTCGAAAACTTTCAAATGCATGGTTGTAAGTTGGTGTAAAAAATGAACCGCAACTGACAAAACTAGGACTAGGAGGACTTAAATTGAATATTGTAGAGATCTTACAGAGAATGAAAACCGATTTTGTAAACCCAATTGCTTAAGTAAATTGATTTAAAACGGATTTCGACGTTTTTTCTGTTGTATGAAATCTATTGAATTGCGCCAGAAGATTTAAATTGCTTTGATTGAATATTCACAGTTCACCAACTATATTGAAAGCAAAATTATTTTCAAGTTATCTGTTCCGACTTTCGATACGAAAGTAACGGAATATTTGTGCTCGGGGTGGGTTTTTTTTTCAGACAAATTTCGACTTATGAACTAGCCATTTTTGACGGAACTTTTTTTTATATCAGTCGAAAGGTATTGTTGTCTTGAGCTCAAATTTGAAAAGATATTTTACCTGTGATCATTTTTCGTAAAGTTACGGGGGTTTAAAGATTGCCATTTTGGCCAATTTGGGACAATTAACGCACGATAAATTTCGCGCTATTAACGCGTAAGCGGAGATTTAATCCGTCTTATAAATCATTCCAAATTGGTTCAAAGAAGCTTATTTGCCGTAAATGGCTTGTTACAAGGAGCGAAATCTATCCTTTTGTACTTTATATGGCGTGTGGGGTGATGATTTTCATTAAAAATTTCAAATTCAGAAAAAAAAATTTCAATTTATTTTATTTCATTGAATTTTTTAATGTTATTACGGCTCCATAAACCTTAAAAGGCAGTCGGAACATTCAGGGCTTCGCCCTGATACGAGCAGTCTTGTTTAATTTTGCTTTTCAAAATTTCTTCAATAAAAATCTGTCGGAATCGATGAAGCTACTTGAAAATTTGTTTAACGCTAGCTATATGTTTCAATGGATTCTATAAAAGTTTTGATGTTTCAGGGGTCTCCCGGTAGGAAGAGTAAACTTTTGAAAAAAAATTGTTGTATTTTTTTCTTAGTTGAAATGTTCGTAAACTTTTTCAGCGAAGTCGCCTCAGTACTTAGCAATCTAATTAAAGAAAAACATTTACCTGTGATGTATTCTCATTTCACTGACTTTTGTATTTGCGTTCTGGTCAAACGTCGTTACGAAAAACTGGGTCAATAGCATAAACTATGTTTTTAGTGATGCATAATTGGCAAATGTTTTGAACTAATTGGAAACTCAAAAATTGTTTGAAAGAATGAATGAAATTAATTTAAACCGATTTGAATTCGCCTTTAATTTACACGGTAATTGAAGCTGTATTTTTATGAAATGGATCCAAATAGTTCGAATGAATAATTTTAGCTATTTTTATGCTCAAGTTAAATCAATTTCAAATCGATTTGAAACCGAAATTTTGAAAAATTTTCTACAGTTTTTACATCAAATCTCAAAATACCATAATAGAAAAGGCGGTTCAAAGCTTTCCGTGTCAATCTTAAACTTTTGTATCAAGAAATAAATCAAAATTCAAACAGTTGAATTTGAGAAATATTCAATGCCGGTCGAAGTGAAGACCGATTTCTTTTCGTTTTCAGTGTGAAATTGTCAGAATTCAAAATTTCGATGTAGTTTTTTGAACAACTTTTAAAAATTTATAAACATGACACAGATTTTATCATTCGATAATAAACTAGATGATGTATATTCTCAGTTTACTGAGCATTGTCGAAACTAAACACTCGACTTCGTACATCGATGTCGTTATAAACTTTTCAAAGAAATTTTTTTTTTTATTGAGTGCTACATCATTATGGAACGACCTACATTAACATAATGTATAAATACAGAGGCAAACCTAACTTCGCACCAGTTGCGATAAAAAAAATGAATAACTATGATTACGTGAAAATGAATCAACTAGCCAAAACTGAAAGTCTAACAATTCAATATAATCGACAAATCCAAAATTCATTTGGCTACACCGTTAGAAACTTTACAAAGAGCAATTTAAAAGGAAAAAGAACCTTCAGGGCCAAATTTAAATGAACACTTTTACTTGCGAGTTAAGGTTAGAAAAAAGAAGGTTCGTACCAATACACTATGCTGCACGCTAGTGAAATAATATAAGCAAAATTAAATATTTATTACAGATGTGACAGCCTATGGAGAGATATCTTGGAATAAATTTAAATTCACATAATTTGTTCAATTGCGTTTAAAATTATTTCAGCCTATTTTTATTCCAACATGGTGCCTTTCATTTTGATTCTCTGCTTCTTAAAGAATAATGTGCTTTTTGTTTACCTTTTCCAGAATTTTATCAGCCCTGACACATTGAACTTAGCTGAATTTTATATCTAGATTTATTATAATACCCTTCATTGGTTCATGGGCTACAATTTTTTGGATAGCGTGACCGTGACATTCGGAGGGATGATGCGACCAAGTGTGTGCGATGCTTCAACACGGCTCTGGCTAAGACATACGACACTTACTTCACACTCGGAATATCACAGTCGTTTCTCCCTAGATCAACTCAGGTATATTTAACCGCAGTCATCGGTTATTTTGTTTCGATGAAAGTAGAAATATATTTATTCTAGTAAGCCAAAAATGTAAGTTTTATAGAATTTTCAGGATTAGCGGAGAATATTGGAGGTTAAATAATTTTATATGCAACATATCGATGAACCTCTTTTTTATGACATTTTCCAAAAATTTTCCAGCTAAGATGTTGTGATCATAAAATTGGCCGCTTTTAAATTTTGATCCATTGCTAATACAGTTTTTTTCACTTCAACTCATTTTACATTCAAATTTGTTGAGCTTTCGATAAAAAAAATAACCCCATTTTTCCAATTTCAGACGTCTTCCAATTCCCTGGCACGAAAGGGCGCGCTTCTACAGACACTGGCTATTGTGCTTTTGGTGGCTGAGACAGCGTTTTTCTTCCTGTTTCTCTTTTACAGTCAGTTTGCATTGCTCTTGAAAATCTACCGACGACTGCAAAATTATCTACTATTGGGTAAGTGTAGTAAGGAGCGGCGGATTTATTGCAGTCATAGAAAATTAACCCGCTCATCACAGGGATAAAGTTAACATTATTCATCTTAAATATACCCTTCTGTCCCAGTTCTGATTCTCAGTCTCACTATCTTTTTGGATTAAAAACACCTCGCGCTTTGTGTAAAATACTCAAATTTGATACTGTAATTAAACACAAAGGCGAAGCGGCGCTTCGCAAACACTTGCGAGAACACGACCAAAAAACAGCTCTATCAAGTGAAAAAAGAAAGTAGAAGTGCGACCTACTAAGAGAGTTCGAATATGCGACCTACTACAATCAAGAGATGTTGAGTCTCACGCATTATCCACTCAACCACGCAAGTTTAACAACCGACAAACACTAGTCATGAATAAACAGCTATATATGCTAATAAATTGCCAATGCGATTCATCCAAAGTCGCACCAAATACAGACTCAATTTTGCAAGTAAAAATTTGGAATATAACAAACTGAAGGCATCCCCACTATCTTGGCATGTAACAAATTGCAAAGCATAAAGCCACGTTGTCTACAAATTATGCATTTCAAAAAAATTGCGAGATATATTGAGTTGAAAAAATTTCCGAAAACGAGTTTTCATTATTGTAATGTTGTTTGAAACAGATCTCTTTTTTCGGTTCAATTGATGAAATATAAAACTGCAAAAATGCATCAACTGTGTTAACTTATTACTATTCAAATGTCAACGCACATGGTATCAAAAAGCTGTAAAGAAACACAAAAAGTGGCTACAATACTTGCGATTTAGGTTGGCAAAAAAGAAGGTTCGTACTAATACTCACTTCGCAAGTATAACTAAGAGGAAAGTAATCGTCCTCCTTCCTAAAGCGTTTTCGGGAGAGAAGAGAGGTTAACTTGGCCCACTCACCCTTGAATTTATTGGATAGGTACGGTACGACTTCGATTCTAGTCTAGATCTACCTCAAATAATTGAAAAAAATACGGTTTCAAGACACTGGTATTCACAAGGGAATGATATTTTAAATTTCAAATGCCAAGTTGGTTAAACTATGGTTGTCCTATAATCATGAGAGCTTACAAAATAATATGTTTTTTTTCTGCGTTGTTACAAATTGGGCTTCAATATTTGGATGAAACTGTTTGAAAAATGTCAAAAAAAAATTAAATAAAATTGGGAATGATTTTGTCGAACTACTAGAGGCGACAGTTCGACAAAATTATTCCCAATTTGAGCGTAAATAAGAAAAAGTCAGCCCACCGGATTTTCCGAACAAACTTTTTCATTATCTTTTCGAAATTAGAATTGCCACCGAAACGGCTGTTGCAATTAGAAATGTATAAATAAGTTTGAAGTCTTAGAACCATTTTGTAAAAGCTATCATAGATTCTGTCATTCTTAGAAACGATTTTCTTCTTTTCTGCTTTTAGCATCTCTAGTCTCCAACATCTGCGAACTCGCATGCTTAGCCGCCCTTTTAACTCTCTTCCGCGACAACTACAAAAACATCCAGATGGGTCTGGGACAATCTCTGGCATTCGCCACAGTCGCACTTGCAATTCTGAGAGTGTTCCTCATATTCAAGATAGTACATGTTATTGTCAGAGACTACAATCGGAGTTTGAGACGAGGTGGCAATGAAAACTACAGGATTCAGATGAAGAGAACTACTGTTACTAAGAGTACTAATAAAAGTGCTACCAGCAAAAGTTGAATAAGAAAGAGCTCAGAAAACGTCATCAAATATTATTTGATTTATATTTCGACCTCAGTTTAAAATAACCTATTTGAAGGCAATTGATCATTTTCGATTTTCAGTTTTCAATTTTAATAATCATTTGATGTTTTGTTTTTTATATTTGACTTCTCATCATAAAAACTTTGCAGTTTGAATTTAGCTATTAAGTTTGTTACCATTATCAACAATTGAAAATTATTCCTTTTTTAAAATAATTTAATGTAATTCTTATTTGAATCAATTTCTTTTTCAAGCCGACGCAGAAAATCTACTTGCAGTGCGTATAGTCACTGGCAAAAACTGAATAGATTATCAACTGTTCATTTTAAAAACTAAATGAAAATGTACAAAAATACAAAACTAACTCTAAAAAAATCTATCTATACTTGCACAATTGCATTTGAGCCTTTTAAAGGAACATATCCGATCACGTTTCTAAACCAGTTCAAACAGTCAGTCTCTATCGACAGTATCGTTTCTTTCGATTTCGATTCACTCTCTGATTCATCAATCTTCTCATCTATATTCTGATCATCGTCTCTATTTTCGACCTCCATTTCTTCCGGTTGTTTGTTTTTGTTCATTTTGACCCCAATTGATGGGGTTTGAGTCACGTGACCGACTAACATGTTCATGATGACTGAATTGCACTGTGGTTTGTTTCTCATTTCAGCTGTGATTGTCGAGTTAAAATAAGTTCTGAGAAGATGATAGTAGTACCTGAATTGAAACAAAAACTCACTTCAAATTTAGCCAGTATTAAACTCAAAACACAAAAAATTTCTACAAAGAAGAAGGTTGCTTTTGACGAAATTTTGAAGCATTTAACGCCGAAAGAAAATTAGATAGAAGCCACTATGTCGAAAATCTCCCAAAAAAACTTCCATAAATTTGTCTCCAATCGTTTTAAACAGTTCGTTTTGAGAAAAAGTAGGACAATTGAAGGTTAAACTAGCACAAGAGGAAAATGTACGAAGCGGTAACAAAGCCGACAACACTTGAACAGAAACTAGTTGAGCCTCGTTTTTGCTACCAAACTCAAAATCTCAAAAAATGGAAAAAATTCTAAAACTCGGTTGCAAGAAACTTGCTTATCGAAGGGATAAAACATGAATCTTTATGTTTAAATCAAATCAGATGTTTTACTGCATGTTTATTGAAGACGTTTAGCTGCATGCGCGCACGTTTTAAAATTGACCGAAGGGTCAGAACGCGGAACAAATATTTTACCGGTCAGATTATTGACATCTAAAACAACGCAGCACTATGTACTAACTTGTGATGTATGGCCATGGTTAGATTGACCATAGTATAATAGTCTTCTGTCTCTTTCACCACTGTGTATTCATTCTTCAGAGCAGACGAGAGATAGTGGTTGCTCATTTGAAAGCCAATCAGCCTGTCAGGATAATGCGAAGCAACTTCAATTAGCAACTCAATCTAAACAACATTGGCTTATATTTTAGATAACGCGGGGTTTTTGTATCAATTGTACGTGAAATTTGAATACTACTTTGAAGTTTATGTTTAAAACGCGCATTATAAAAACCCGCGATACATAAATCGCACATAAAAACAAATGCAAACCGAAGATTTAAGGGACCAAATGCTTTATATTCGGGGATCCGTCAAAAACTAAGTGAGCCAACTATCATATTTGTATGCAATTTGCAGTTCAAACCTGTTCAGGAGATAATTCCTCGCCATGACTGCAATCCAGCATTATCACAAAGGGCGCGTCCGATGGAGCTACGAGGTCCAAATCATAGACTGATTGCACGCTTTTCAATTGCACATTTGAAGGCAGCCAATCTGTCTGCATCTTTTTCAGGCTTAAGACTGGTTTCGAAATAGCGAGGATTACCTAGAAACAAAACCGATAGTTCAAATAACTGACAATAATATGTAAACGTGAATAAGTCCTTTCCCTCCCCTCCCCCTTTTTCTGCAGCCACTAATTCGTAGTTTGAGAGCGTGGAAACTTGCAATTTATGATCATAAAGCGAGGTTTGACCTAAGTATTGAAATTGATACTTGTGTGCGTCAATTTTTGCAATTATATATTTTCAATCCTACGAGGGTCCAAAAACAAGTTGATTGAAATTTTGAACGATTTTTAATTGATAGAAAATCTCACAAGCCAGACTGAAAGTCATTTGCATATATACATACATTATGAGCTTTCTTGTCTTTCGAAACAGCTTCAACAATACGGGAACACTTAGTCAATTCATTTCCGCTTTCGTTTTCACCACTCCAAACCACAATCGAATATCTCAATTCCGAATTGGCGTCTGATCCAGATGAAATATCATTTAAACTGTGTCTCCAAAATGGGAAGTCGACATAGTTTGTCGAGTAGTTGAGGTCGACAAAAAGAGCACCTGGATAGCTGTTCCAGACCCACTTTGGGAGGGGGTTGGGTTTCAATCTGTCGTACAGAATCTAAACAAGGACATCCGGATCTTTTTCTTTGGATCACAGTAAATACAGCAAGACCTGAAGCTCGTCTAAGCTGAATTTTTAAACATCAAAAAAATAAATGGTCAGAGCACAAACTACCTGGTCAAAAAAACCTTTAGAGCATTTTAGAAATTATAAATCAAATCTGGGTCTCTGGAAAAAGATAGCTATCATAAATAAGAATTTTCTATTCATCAAAGATGTTATTAAAATCTACTACAGATCCAATCATCATTTTTTGCTCAAAAAAAACATTTGATACAGATCTGGTTTACCATTAAAGGATCCTTCATATAATTATATTTTGATGATTATGAGTTTAATGAACTAAAATTGTTGTACAATTGAAAAAATCCTCTAAGCATACCTTGAACGTGGCTCTGAGTATGGTGTCTACAGATGAGAAGTAAGAATGGTACATGAAGTGGACTTGTCTCTTCATCTCAATCACCTCCTCACTCCTCATGTTGCGCAGGTGGGAGGGAATCTGGAACACAATCATTATAGTTTTCGTCTATATTGAAACTATATAATTAACAATACCCTTGTTTTCAAGGAAACAATTTGTTTATAATTTACAAAAATTATCAAAAAACAAATCCCAGGTGGGCCAGTTAGCTGCTTAACGACAGATGTCTTCAAATTGAACTTGTTTAGGCAATTTCAGATCGAAAGTGAAAAGTACAAATTTCATGTCAAAAATTTTTTTTATCACCAAGCTAAAATACTGAATCATAGCCAAAAGACAGCTGCAAAAGAGTCAATGAACTCAAGCAAACAGAAAAAAAAATAACTAATTTTGTTTGCAAAAATCTCAACTTTCGAATTTCAAAAAAGAAAAACATACCCTTAAAGCTCTTTGAATTTCTTGAACAATTTATGATTGGTAGTTTTTTGATAAAATTAACCCAATTTGAAAAAACTGAATCAATAATTAAAAATTTTATTTCGCTGGAAATCTGAAAACTTAATTCCACTTTCGAAACTAGAAGTCGATCACGTTTGCTGCGACCTTTACACTTTTGTTGTTCGATTGGAGTTTGCCTTCCTTTTAACAGAAGAAATTTGAGATAAAAAAAGTTGACAAGCCCTCAAATATGTGACAAAAACAGAGGCGAGCAAAAACATTCGCTTGCAGCCGAGAAGTGAGCGCAGAAACTTTATATCATGTTTTTCTGAGCGGAAAACTATTCATTTTGAGATTTTTTGCCATCTACTTCAAATTTTAGTTTTAAAAGGGTTTCCAACGTACGCGTTTAACTGAGAGAAACTATTATTAATTAAGCAGAAGCAAAACGACCTCGACATTATAAAATTCTACAAACAGAAGCGAAGCTGTGCTTCGCACCACTTGCGATACAAAGCAAGAAAGACGCTAAGTCGGAAAGAACCACAAAAAAAATCGAAAACGTGAAAAAAACAGATCTATCAAAATGAATCAGGCTAGTTTTGAAACAGAAACATGCCAACACAAGATAATGTGAAATTAGCATCGAAAGATAATATACCCAGCGGCAACAAAGCCGAAAATACTTTGTCGGAAACCCTTTAAGACAAAAAAATCAACAAGACTAGGCTTATAAAAATTTACACAAATTTAAAACGTCCCCCACGCCCTCAAAATACACAAACAAAAAAAAAACATTTTTTTTTGCCCGTGAAATAAAACAACCTGAGGCTAATAAGCCGATACAATATAGACCGAAACCTATTTAGCCAAAAAAGGTAAATAAAAAAGCCGAAAAACAATTCAAAATAATTTAGACTAATTAAAGGTCATTAGATCCCCTTCAGCCTCAAAACACACAAAAAAAACCATTCAATTTTTTTTCGCTCGTCAAAAGACGCAATGCGAGGTCATTAAATAAATATAATATAGGCCAAAATCAAACAAGCCGAAAAAAGGAACAGAAAAAAAAACAAACAAGCAATTTCAATAAAAGTTTCCATAGAAAAAAAACAATCATAATCAGAGAAATAATAAGCTGACAATTTTTTTTCGAAACGGAATATTTCACGTTTGAAAAAAAAGGTCCTATCAGATTCGAACCTAGGAAGTTTGCCGTCCCAGGCGTATTCATTAATTCCAGACCAACTGCGCCGGTGACGCAAAGATGTTTGAACTTTTTACACAGAGACAAAGCTGCGCAAGCACATGCGAGAACACGATCAAAAGGCAGCTCTATCAAAGGAAATGAGAAAATGTAGAAATAAGCCTCGAATTAGCAAAAAGTCGGCTACGTGTAGGATTCGAATCTGCGACCTACTGCAATCAGAGATTTTGAGTCTCACGCACTAACCACTCAGCTTTGCACGCTTAACCACATAAAAACACTAGTCACGAATAAAGCAGCTACATATGCTAACAAATTGCCAAAGCGTTTCAGCAGGTGGCACCAAATACAAATAGACACAATTTTGCAAGTCATAATTTGGAATATAACAAAGGCACCTACACTACTTTGCATATAGCAAACTGCAAAACATAAAGCCAGATTATGTATAAACTATGTATTTTTCAAAAAATTGCGAGATACATAGCGTTAAAAAAACTTCTGAACTCGACTTTTCATTTTTGTTATGCTGTTTGAAACAAATCACTTTTTTCGGTTCATTAGATGAATCAAAAATGCATCAAATAAGTTCACTTTCTAATATTCGAATGTCAAAGCACATGCTATCAAAAAGCTGTAAAGGTGCTCCAGCATTTTTGGGGTGCCACACCAATATGTGCGACTTAGGTTGGAAAAAAAGAAGGTTCGTACTAATACACTCGGTTCGCAATTGTTATCAACTGAACATAAATGTACCATTTCTAATTTTGACCATTCTGTGAACTAAATTATTCACGGGAAAAAGTCTAGTACCCGATTGCAATACCCTTGCTTATCGCAAGGGTTATAAAAAATACAAGACACTTTCATTTACAACAAAATTGGCTGTAAGCAAAAGATAGGTAAGAAGTGTGGAAACTAAGCCGACAAAACATACGCAGACAACTGATAGGTCGATTGATTTTTTATACACACTACTTTGGGTTTTAAAAACAGGTTCTGACCGATCTCGAGGCTAGGCCCTTAGCAGTCAACTAATTATCGTAATCAGTAGTTAAATTTGAATTTTCAAGAAACTGAGCACGTTTGCTGCAGAATTGAATACTGCACAATTGATTCAGTGATTTTGTTAAACTAATTGTTAACCCGAAAAAAGTCCGCTTTGATAACGCTTTTCAATCGCAAGCGTAATTAATACTCGGGACAAGTGAGACTCGTATTGCCAGTTACCCAAAAAAAATGCAACCCGGTTTTTTCTAAGCCATGTTTTTCTCTAAATTATGAACAGTTCCAAAAGACGGTCCTTCGTAGCCTCCTAATAATGAATTATCTAGCCAAAATTCCCGAATGCATTATGTACACTTAAACACATCTACAATTTCTTCTGACCTTCAGAACGAAATCAAAATTTTCAATTCTTTTAATTACTAACTTTTCAGACCAAATTAGTCTTGTATTTCGCCACGGGAACAATTGTCAAAACAAATTTAAACAGTGTCAATTTTTTCTAACCAGCGTGACTAATCTCTCATCTGCAATAACTGCAATCTTCTCCCACTCTATAACTTCATTAAATGGCAACACTTGATTATTGGACATGACAACTGGAATACATCCAGATCTCATCACTTCCAGCAGACGGAATGAGTCAGCCCGTCTGCCTCTGGGCACAAAACAGAAGGTGGAATTAAGCATGAGGGTGTTGTAGTCGTACCTATAAAACCAATCAGTTTCAAAAAAGTTCGACAAAAAACTCCCATGTAAATATCTGTTCAAAAAATAATTGACGAGCTTCAGCAATGGTGAAAATGAAAGTTGCCCTATTCCATTATACCCTATAGTACCAATTTATCCTATACTATACCTTCCAACAATGACAGAAGACATTGGATGAGGGCAATTTAATAATGATTTTAAAATATATAATCACCGAAACATTTCAAAAACAATTTTCAACAGTAAAAAGCAAAAAAAGAAACCGAGCTCGCTGCTAGTTTCTTTATGGGAAAGTTTGCGATCAAATACGTATATTTTTCTAGAGAACTTAGAAAAAAGGAACTTAACATCATTGAATGAATTTCGAACTATCATTTAGATACTGACGCAAAACACCACTCGAAAGGCGGTACTTCCAAAAATAAATTATTTATTTTTTTGACCTTGAAATTTTTCTGCGCCGCCGACAAATTTTTGCAAAAAAAACATGTCAGAAAAAATCAAAGAGCATTACTTTTGAGGAGAAACACAATTTAGTTGGCCAAAGACTTCTCTTAGACGTCATTTCTGACAGATTTTTTTCAAAAATTTGTCTGCTACGCAGAATATTTCCAAAGTCAACGAAACGAAATTTAAAATATATATTTTTTTAAATCCACGATTGCACAACCCTCGAGAAAAACCCAGAATCACATCTCATCATCATGTAATCGTATAAAGTGCCTTGAGAGAAATTTTTCAAAAAAAAGGTACCATAGGGGTCCTTTGAAGAGCAGGGAGGGGGGGGGGTTCCCTGAAACCACTGTTGATGATGGTTATAGTGATGATGATGGTATCTCGACTACTAACTCTGGTCTGTTGTACTCTCTGCTGCTCGCCTCACACTGGTACAACTCAATCGAACTGAGATGTCTCTTCCACTCCTCCCCATTGTGTTCACATGTCACCACTGACACTATGTCCTTCTGGTTAGATATCACAGGCAGGATGTCTCTCGTCTCACTCCCTACACCATGCACGTATCGCTTGCCCTAAACAAAATACAAACAACTGTTTTAAAGTAACATATAAATAACTGTTTGACATATAAATGTGATAATACATTCTGTGTTCCAATAATTCTCTTTCTTTCGCATGCCTGAAAAATTCCAACCTCAGTTCACATAGCAACAAAAGCGAAAAATAATAAGGAAAATTTCGAAACATTTTTGATTTTTTTTTTGCTTTAATAACTGATAAAAAGCATTTTAGATGACGCCATTTATACATATAAGCTGACCATTCGTTTATTGAGTAAAAAAACAAAAATCGCAGACTTTCTGAAAAAAAACTTATCTGAAAACCGAAACAAAATCAGACCACTTTTTCTCGACGTTCAGAATTGTTTGAAACGGGTTTTCCGATTCCCAATCACGACTGAAAGGCTTATATATGATTTCACACTCGATACCCTGCAAAACGACATCTTCTCATACTGCTCACTTTGAAGAACCAACTTCGATTAATTATGCTTAACTTGAGTTATAAGTCGAATTAAATTTCCCCAATATATCGCCCTCCAGACAAATATAGTCCACTATGAAAAAAACACTGTCTAGTCTAACCATAAGATCTTCGCTGGCCAGCTCGCAGCAAGAAGGGGTCAACAGATAAAAGATGCAAAAAAGATGTTGCTTTTAACTTTTTTTGAAACGAAATTACGACAGCATTCGAGCGTATTTTCTGCTGAAAAAATTCTAAGTGTGCATGAACTTTTTGTATAGGAGTTATTTAAATTTATGTTGCGATCCCTTGCTGGTCTACATTGTGAAAATTGTTAGAAAAATAATAGTAAATTTCGTGTCTGTACACAACAGTCCCATACAAAACAGTCCAATACAAAACAGTCCGAAAAAACATAGCAAAGTACAAAAAAAACAGTCCAATACAAAACAGTCCCAAAAATAGTCCGAAAAATAGTCCAAAAAACAGTCCCATTGATCGGATTGATAATTGTTCTAGAAGCTGATAAGCAAATTTATCTCATATTAAACACATTTTGATTCCATCTAATCAGGATAACAATAGGTAGTATAGTAGAGAAATTAGAACAACCTAGATAACAGCAGCGGCCACTCAAAAAAAGCAGTTATGTTCGAAATATTAAAGTTAACGCAATTTAAGAAAATGAACTCTTTTTTTAATCCATGCAAAAAGAGACAGGTTGTTCAATCTGTTTCATTTGCAAACACTTGGAAACACTCAATAGAAACGAAATTCACTATCTATCGATGGAAATCATACTTACAAACAAAAATTCTGAGTTACTGATTTTTGAAGGTTATGCTTATATTAAACACAGATGGAACGTTTTCGACTGCTCTCAATGTTTTCTATCAGATTTATACAATACACGCTTCTGTTGAAGGATGCCTTATTCCTATTGTTTACGCTCTGCTACCCGACAAAAAGGAATCAACTTATTGTCGCCTTCTCAGTATTCTAAAAGTTGATTCCCCAAAACGCGTCATAATTTGATTTTGAAGTAGCTGTGCGAAACTCAATAATAGCTACCCATCAGAGTGCTCAAAGTCAGTTTTGTTTTTCCATATGAGTCAAAGTGTCTGGCGAAATGTTCAGTCGTCAGGCAATACTCACAATTACAACAGTGACCTTAGTTTTCGCGAACTTATTCGATTGCTTCTCGCAACAGCATTTCTGCCCGTAGAGGACGTCCCCACAGCTTTCGAGCTTCTGCAAGGTATGGCATCTGAAGAAAGTCAACCGATTTTCAATTATTTCGAGGACACATATATTGGTAGACTGACTTCTCAAGGACGACAAAAGCCCAGATTTGATATGGAGCAATGGAGTTGCCATCAAAGAGTAAAAAACGACCTTCCCCGCACCAACAACGCTGTAGAAGGTTGGAACACCAATTTCGTGAAACTGGTCAATAGTAAGCATCCATCATTGCCAAAACTGATCGAGAAATTCCAGGACGAGCAAAAAAAATGCGGAAATACTGTTGGAAAAAATGTGCGCAGGACAAAAAGTAGCCAGACCCAAAAAAGCTAAATACCAAAAACTAGATAAAAACTTAATCACTATGATTAAGTCATATCAACCCAACGATATCATTGCATTGGTTTTTTGAAAGGATGTAGTAATAATATTAAATTATAATCAGATGTTTATTTTCTTTTCAATTTTCACATTTATTCCACATTGCCAAGCAATAAATTTTTCCAAGTTCAATTATTTTCCTTGATTTTTCAAAATTGAGCTAGAGTCGATTTAAAGCCGGCAAAATAATGAATACATACAAGGTGTTGATTATTTTCTTTTCTCTCCGCCCAACCCTCTAAGGTTGAACCCTTTGTTGTACCCTAGATATACCCGTTATCATATTTACCCGAATTTCAACTTTTTTTGGAAAATTTTTTGTGCCGCTAGAGATTCGATCCTTTGATCTCCTGAGTTTGAGACTAACGCTTTAAACACTATACCATTAGGCCTTTGATTTTCATCCGAATTATTGTTTCAACTTTGGCTCTTTGATCTTTAATTGCCCCTGTTTGAGTTTTCAAAGCGTAGATCAATTCTGTGGGCGCGAAAAGATTAAGGTCAAGAAATTCAACTGGTTTTGGACTGTTTTGTATGGCACTGTTTTTTAGAACCTTGTTTTTGATGTTTCGGACTCTTTTGTATATTTCGGACTGTTTTGTATATTTCGGACTGTTTTGCATATGCACCGTAAATTTGATGCTTTCACTTACTGTATACAAAGGTCAAGTCTCAATTTAAAAATTCCAAATTTAAAAAGCAATACTCAGAGAGCTTCATTAAGTTATAGAGGCTCGAAGTTTTTCAATCTATAAAGCAAAACTGATTGCTTCCATGTAAGCTTGACAATTTATCCCACGCTGATCTTCAAACAATTACCTAATATTTTTGGGATTTGTATATTTTAAGTAATGACAACACCATCAAATTTGTTTTTTCTTTTAAGAAACTAGCTTTTCTTTTCTTAAATATTTTTCTCGGAGGTCTCGTATGACTGACATTCCTAGCTTTCTAGACCCTAATTTCTAGACCCTAAAGCTGAACTTGTTCTATTAGCGGTTTCTGCGTTTTCTAACTTTATCTTGTCTGTAAAGCCTCACTGATACCAATGGAATTGGATGGCGGCTATTTGGATTCTTATTGAGCTCAACTAGCAGTAACCAGTTAACATGTCCAGTAAGGTTTTCAAACGATTTGAAAACCTTACTGGACATGTTAACTGGTTACTGCTAGTTGAGCTCAATAAGAATCCAAATAGCCGCCATCCAATTCCATTGGTATCAGTGAGGCTTTACAGACAAGATACAGTTAGAAAACGCAGAAACCGCTAATAGAACAAGTTCAGCTTTTGCTTTTGAACCGAAGAATGAGGGCAAAGACAAGCAAGTTTCAAGAATTATTATTCACTTTAATTAAATACGTTTTTTATGTTAATTTGTTTTGAAAATTGGACATTATAGCCACTTCCATTTAAGTAGCCATTCGTCCAGAGATTGCAGTGCTGCAATAGAGGTGCGATAGGCATTTCTCGGCAAAGTTTTGCTCGTTTTATCTAATTAGTTATTTTATTGTTATTCTTATTATTAAATGTGATTTTTTACAACAAAAATTGATTTTGATTGTCACCTACGTCTGTAAATTCAGGCCAGCACCTAGCAACTCATATGGATTTGCCAGCTGTGCACTCAGAATTATTATTTGGCAAGATGGATGGCAACTCTTTCCCACGGGTCTTATGAAAAAACAACGTACTTACCTTGAATGTGGCCAAGTAATGATCTTGAGACGATGATCGAAACTGGATGGGCATCTTGGGCAACAAATCAATCTGCATTAAGTTTACCAGAGGATAGGCCAGATCGTAGCCAAATCGAATGCTCCTAAAGTCAAACACAATGTCTAAAACGTAAAATTAAGATTTGATTTTTCATTTGAGCAGCTTCAATCGCAAAATGTAATTTTTTAGAACCATTTGTCCATAAACGCCACAAAGAAACAATCCTTTTAGAAAATTTACGAAATTTCCGGAGAACCACTGTTATTTCCCTGATTAAGACAATAAGATTGAGTCATTTTTATCGTAATTCGTTTGTTCGTCGGTGGTCGCTTTATGGTCTTGAGATTGCTTCTTCGCCCTCAAACAAAGAGCACTGACCGTTCTAATTAGGGACAGAAACATTATCCATTCCATGGCCATTTCTCTGGCAGAAAATGAGGAAAAGTATTCTTTTACACTTAATGCTTAGTTACTTGTAAGACACACTGCTCTTCACAAGAATCCCTTTCTGCACATCGAAGTCCACTTCTTCCGAGTAATCAGGAACTGTTCCGGAGAACGCATTGAAAAACACGAAATTCGTCCTACCCTCATTGTTCTTCAAATAGGCAATGTATTACTTCAGTCGTTTTTTTTTCAGTTTGTAAACTCAAATTCTACAAAGAAATTTTTTCAATTATGATTTCAATTTTCAGCTTTCTAATCGCTGTGACACTTCTATAAAATTTACACCTGATTTAAAAGACCACATCCGGGCTAACATCCAATTATGACATGACCGATGAATGCTCTAGTCTTTTCTTTTCTACGGCTTAAAAACACCAACTTCTTTATTTAGCCTATTTTTAATATAAATCGAAATTTTCTGAAGCTGAAATTAATTTCAACCAATCAAATTTGAGGATTATGATCCAATGTTTTAAATTACAAAAAAACCGACTTTGGGCCGTATAACAGAAAAGACCAGAACGCACTAAGCGCAGCACCCACTGAAACCAAAAACTCAGACGAACGGCCAGTTGAACTTTTCGACCTAGCGATTGAAAACTATGCATAGTATCAGATATTCTCCAGGCAATTTACTTACGTAGAAATTTCAAAAATATCAATTTCGCCAATTCAACGAAGTTTAATATCGGCTTTGTTTATGTCGTTGTTTCAAAACTTATACTGTTAAAAACTCGTTTATTTAATTGTTTAAATATAGGGACTACTATTGCGATATATTGCCTTCATGAATTTGGCAGCCAATGAGAAATCAGGAATCGTTGCTATTGTTTTCGGGTTCAAAATATCTCGGTCCAACACATCAATATTAAACATTGTGAAACACGAGTTCGAAACATCGTCAATTTTACGCTCAGACTCGGAATAATCAACATAGAAAGGTAAATGTTTCAAGGCTTGAAGTAAATAACCGAATTGAACTGTATGAAATTTGGCAGCGGTGCTGAATTTTTTCATGGATAATGTTAGCGTTTGGCAATAATTTCTGGACATACATTGGGAAATAGTGCAATTTTTTGGATCTAATGAGGGCTTAATGTCTTCAATTAATGGTGGAAATTCTGGGTTTTGGTTTATATCTGAATTGCAGGAAGATTTTTTGTCAAACTCAGGTCGAATAATTCTGAGGAATAACCTTTGAACGAACAGAAGTAGAAAAAAAGATAGAATAAAGCAGCAGATTAATGAGTACCGCGTAACAGTTTTCATTTTGGAGACATTCGATTAACCTGAAAATTACAAAAACTAACATTTTTCATCTATGTAATTTCACTCAATTGAACGGACTGAAATTATCTACAAAATTCAGCAATTCTCCGAAAATTCAATTTCAAAACAATTTTGTGCACCTCTAAAAACTAGAAGAAAAGCAGCAACCATTAATTATAGATTTCTTGTAAACCTATAAAAAAAACAAATTTCAAACTGAATAACTTAACATTTTGCAAATATCAGACCAACACGAGGAATAGTTGGAGACGATCTGAAGTTGAGATCGCAAGATAATTTTTTGGTTTTCCGTTGTAACATATTGGGAAGCATAAAACGTAAATTAGACTTGCTTGACTTTTTCTACTTGATCAGATACTTGCCACCTATACTTCATTTTCGGTGTTTTGATTTATTTTTGAGTAGTTCATGACTCAATAACTGTCTTTTCTTTTAGAGTTTTTCAATCCTTTCTGTCGGCTTTCAGTTTCAGACAACTTATCCTTTCAACTGTCACTCAACAGACTACCTGATACTTTTTTAGATTCATCACGAAATCAATTTTTTCTACATAGAGGCAAGGCTTTGCTTCGCAAACACAAGCGAGAACACGACAAAAAACAGCTCTACAAAGTGCAATAAAAAAGCAAAAAGTCGAAATTCAAAATCAAAATAGGTGGAAACAAATCAAATTTAGTCAAAAAAAGTACATTACCTAAATTTTCAAATTGTTTATAAATTTAAATGAGATCTAGTGTGAAAAACAAACCCTTTAGACATGTAAATCAAAATCATAGATAATATAAAAGGAGAAAAAGCTGCAGCCGAAAACATGAAAGAAAAGCTTTCGTACGATATAATTTTCAAACTATCTGCAGTCATTTTGCAGTTCGCCTTTCAAACATTGAACTTCAACAGTTGAAAGGAGCATAAAGATTTTTTGCAAAAAATAAAGTTTTGGCGAATTGAACTCAGGATAACTCTAATCAATCAGTTTCATTTCCCCTCCCTAACCTTTATTGTGATGCAAAGAATCGTTCATTATTTTTGAGTTGAATAATATGTTTTGTTAAACAGATAATGTCAAAACCGATAACCATTGCCGAAAAATAAAGTTTATACACGACATGTACCATCAGCAAAAACTGTTCGTTGAATTCAAAATCTGCTAAGCTTGTAGAAAACAAACACGCTCTAAAGTATTATCATGATTAAAATGAATATCTTTTGGCACAAGCTTTCATCGTGAAACTTAGCAGTTAGCAGTCATTAATTTGTTCAATTTATAATTTTTTTTGCGATATTTGCACTTTGAGAAACGGTGAGAACCTAATTTACGCGCTTTTTCTGTTAATGACTTGGAATTAGAAAATTTTTTAAAACAAATTGGATCAAATCTGGGGTAACATGAACTAAATAACCGTCACGAATTGAAGGTCACGAACGAGATTGGATCTAAACAAATCACAGGCACAACTTCGGTCACAGTTCCATCCCGTGTGGCAGGCTGGGGCAAAACGGATGAAATCGATCTCCCCACGGAAGCAAGGCCCAAACAGTAAGGCGGAAGTAGGGCCGCGGGCTAATAATGAAACGTATTAACAGCAGGGGCGGATCTAGTATTTTCTCGAGCGGCGGCCGGATTTTCAAAAAATTTTGACGACCTTTTATTTTTCGTCGACCGAATTGATTTTTCGAGCTCACCCAAAGCACTGTTTTGCCCCTATTTTGGCTAAATTTCCTGCGCCGCAGGCAATTTTTTTTGAAAAAACAGTCAAAAAAGCCGTTTTTGGGCACTTTTTGAAAGATTTTGACAAAAAAATCGCGTTTTTTTTGGCGCGCGCTCCCCCTCAAATTTAGTATATATTGGCGCCAATGGCGCCTTTAGAAAAATTTTAGGGTCGGTCAGCCAAAAAAAGATTTCTGAAAAAGTATCAAAGGGGGGACCCTTTGGGTCGAATCCCGGAGGGGGGGGGGCGTCCGCAACCCCCCCCCCCCCTCAAATCCGCCCATGATTAACAGTCTAATTAGACAACTTTAAACATGACTTTTTTTATAGGCAACTGATGATCAGCTTCAGGCTCATTTGCTTGTAGAATTACCTGAAAATGAGCCTTTTTGTTGCTTCATAGATACTGTTTTATGTGAACTGTAAAAGTAAATACTAATTCACACTGAAATTAGTTCACAAGGTGCATTTCATGAAAAATGGCTAGAATTTTGGAAGAGTAAAGTACAAAAAGGTCTATTTGATACAGTTTGAAGCTGATTTTCCGGATTTATTTCATGCCAAAACAAGAAATATATTTCCTTAAAAATCGGACAAAAAAATTTGCTAATAATTAAAAAAATTGTACACATCTTCGGAAATATTGTTAAAAAGTTTTTTTTTATTCGCCTAAGTCCTGTTCTGTGCAGGGATTAACCATGGGGGAGAGAGATGTCATCCATTTTGCCTCAGCCGGTCCCACCTTGAGGAGGCGGATGACTTTGGTACCACTCCAACCGTGACCGAATTGGGACTCGAACGCATGACCCTCGAGTTGAGAGACCACGGCTGCTCATTAAAAAAAAAACAGAGTAGACGGCTGCTGTGCAAGTAGCACAGAAAGTTCCGACCAAAAAACTAAAATAAAACACAACGTTTTTGAGCGTAGTGTGAGGAGAGAAACAAAAAAAGCTTATAACAATAGTTAGTTAATCATGTTCATCTACAACTTTTTTCGAACAAAGAAGTTATTTTAAAAAAAATCACTTTTTTTGCAAGTTTGTTTGAAAACTTTTTATAGCCAAAGAAGTGCTACATAAAGCTTCAAAGACCAATTTTTCACAGCTTGAATGAAAACTTTCTGTGCGATTATAAACCTATAATAAAATAAAAAAGTCAAAAGTAGCTCGAAGAAGACTAAAAAGCAAAAATGCCCACTTTCAGAAGTAGGAAAAAGAACGTCAGGTTATTAGTAAATAATTCCAAAAAACAAGTTACAACGAAAATAAGTTTAAAAAAATTTGAAGAAGCTATCATGCATGGCTATGTTAAATTTAACGCTTAAAAAATTACACTACATAAATTAACAAGTATACATTAGCTACTATTCTTGACTTTTTTTATTCCTTCTTATTCCTAATTTGTCAACCTACTTTTTTTGCTTGTCTCAATTTTAAATTTAAGCCTTCAAACCCAAATTAACAGCAATTTTTGCTTAAACTTTTCTTCTTCTGTATCATTGAGCGTAATTTGACAGCCGTGACTTTTCTCAACGGGTTTCCTTCAAATCGTTGACTTAAAAAGGCCATCCCATATTTTAATAAACTAATTAAATCAAGAAAACCAAAAATTCAGGGAAACACTTTTTCAAATTCAAAAAACGTTTATCATTGACTCTTTTTGATAAAACCAGCATTATTTGAGAAAAATAGATCAGAGGATTAATTTCTTATACGACAGTAAATTCAAAAGTTAACATCCACTTTCAAGCCCAAAAATTAGAATTTTTACCCCACCCTTGATATTTTGCTATTAAAGAACAACAGACTGTTGGAAAAGAGTCAATGAAAGCAAGGAAACAGAACAGAATTGACGTGTTTTTTTTTGGAAAAATATCAACTTTCGAAATTCAAAGAAAAAATATATGCACTTGGAGCTCTTTGAATTTCAGAAACAATTCATGATTGGAAATTTTTTGATAAAAAAGAACCCATTTTAACAACCCAATTTTTTATTCCGCTGCAAAATCTTGAAATTAAAATCCGCTTTCGAAACTAAAGTCGATCACGTTTTTCGTGACCTTTACACTTTTGTTGTTCGATAATGAAGTTTGCCTTCCATTTAACAAAGAAAATGAGCTGCACTTTAAAAAATCAAAGCACGAACAAAATTTGAGCGTGAACAAACTTCAGGATATTTTCCTGAAAAAAATCATCATGAGCTATATAGGAGTCTTCACTGCCATCATCGACTCTGTAAAATTTGACCCGTTTAAATAACAATTTATATCGTTCCTAAACACTTGAAAATAATCGAATTAATTTCTTTAGTCGATTGCTAGAAAGTTCGAAAAAAGAATCTTTTAACCACATTGCAGTTCAATCTCTATCAACCTGAGCTGACCAAAACAATGATTGAAAATTTTTATATATTACCACGCAAAACACTTTATATAAATCTATGCTTTCTTTCCATGTTTCCTTATTTTACACACTTTTTCCTCTCTTTTCTTCACATGTTTCGGCTTTTTGTTCTCTCTGCCCTCTTTTTGTATCTGCTTAACTGCCTTCTTTCTCTCTTTTCGCTCTTCTGCCGTTTCGCCTTTCTTCCGAATGAACATCCAAGGCACTTCTTTTGATTCTTTCTTGTCACCATTTTCATCTTCAGATAAATTATCCTCGTCTTCGCTTTCTGAATTTGAATCGGAGATAGAAGAGTTATCGTCTGTGTTTTCTGAAGTGCGTGATTTGAGTTTTGGTTTGTCGACAAAACTGACAACTGATTTGTAATACAAGTCTTTTTCACTCTCCTGCAAAAACAAAACGAGCAATTTTTTCGAAAAAGAAGGACCAGAAGTTTGGCTACTTAAGGAAAAAGGCCATTGTGTTTCATTTATAAAAAATCATTTCTAATTGGTGGTTTTTCCAGGCTATAAAATCCAGGCTATTGTTGGTTTTCCAGGCTTAAGCAACGAACACATTCAATTATTCAACAAATTTCGTTTCTTCAAACTTAAGCTGGATATTTTTTGCTGCAATCAGGGTTTCTATAAACATATAAACATTAATCATACCGTGTTCAATTTTTCAATATCTTTTTCCGCGTCCACGACTTGGTGCAAATTCTGCGGAATGAAAACTTTTTGAAAGGTCTCATCGTCAATATTTTCACCTTTTCCTTTCTTCGTTTTCTCATGTTTCTTATTTCTAATCATTTCTTCGAATTCTTTATCTTCAATTTCTAGCGTTTCATTTGCCCTTCCGCCTACTTTTTCAGACATCAACTCCAAATATCGAATCGGGTTATCAATAGTCGGGCTGGTTATAAACTCAAACAATTCACGCATAGTCATAACTGGTAGTTTATTCTTCTTGAAAAAGTTAGTAATATTTGTGCAATCCATTCTCAGGAAGTTCAATGCGTTCGGGTGGTTGCTTTCTACTGATTGCGACACGTCAATGTAATAAGCTTGCCCATTGTGATAAAGGATGTTGTATTCTAAAATAAAAGACGTTAGATCTTTTATTTGGTATATTTGTAAAAAAAATCAACATAAATTTCCAACGGATCAACGGGTATCTATGAGTCAGTTAAGCTATCTCATAGTTTTGTAAGGTGCCATACATTGTAATTAATCGCCACTATTAAAATCCATTATCATGGCCATTTTACCTGAGAAATCGGCGTGGGTAAGTTTCACTTCCCAGTACATAGTTCGCATATCTCTCACAATTTGGAAGTACAGTTCGCGCAGTTTCGACTCGGAGAGGTTTGCGTCTTTCAATTTAGGAGCTGGGTATCCGTCATCGCTTCCGAGGAACTCCATCACCAGGACGTGACCTGAAAAAGCGACAGCTTTGAATGGAAAGAAACGGGATGAAATTGAGATGGATACAATAGCTGTGGAGTTAAGAAGTTATGGGTGAAATACCAGGGCTGATTTTTTGGACTTACTTTAGACCCACCCCTCCTCCTCTCTTTCCCCACAACCAGGCAAAGGCGCAAATTGTCTGACTTAACCTAACCTGCAAGAAATCCCGTTTTGTAAATGTCGTCAATTGGAGTTTACGTTGGTATAAAAATTGAAAGGCGAAAAACAAGTTGGATAATATTTGTTTAAAACTGGAAGAAATCAATCCAAATCAAAATAATGCTAATTGGGTTCGGGCGAAAATTCATAACAAGTGACAAATACTAACAGGCGTCAAAAAGTAACAAGGCCTTGGTAAGCAGCGAACGCTGCTCCGCTTCGCTTAAACTCGGCAAGAGTGATCTATTCGAGAAATCGTGTTTACCGCTAGACCGTGTTACCAATAGTCGCATGTTAATAATTGTCACCTCTTACAAATTGTCGACTGTTACAAATTGTCGCCAGTTACTAATTGTCCACAATTACGATCAGCCGCAACTTTCGAATTACTGACGCCGGTTATGAATTTTCGGCTGCTACCAATTGTTACCAAAAAAACTACATCTCACCTTTGAGCATGATTGGATTGGGACAAGGAAGTGCAGAGTTGTGGAACCTGGTGAGATTCCTGAACTCCTTCTCCGCCCATGTCTGCACCATCTTCCTGTTATTCCCCCTGCAGTATCCATTTCTGAATCTGTACTCACCCGAGATGTATCTGTCTCTGTCTTTGAATGTCAGTATAGATGTTTTGAAAACCTAAACAGAGGAAAGTTTAACATAGATGCCTAGATTGAATTACATCACAAATCGTAATGATAATTTCACTTGAAGGACGATTAGAGTAACATGAATGCGCAGAATGAACTTCATCACAAACTGAAATCATAATGTAAATTTGATCGTTTCGAGCAAAATCGCAGATTTTTAGTAACTTCACAAAACACAGTTCGACCTTCAATTATTTCAAAATGATTTCCTCTCACTTCCATGCAATGTGTTAATATTACTTCGACTGGTAGCGTATGTCCCCCCCCCCCCCCTTGATTCAACCTAGACTTCTCAAAAGGTCTTTCCTTTGATAATATTAACCGACATCCATTTTTGGTTGACAAACCCAATAAATTGAAAGCGTGACAATCCCGCGAATTGATTTTAGAACCTAATAACGTTTCATCTTTCAGATTGAAAGGCTGCCGCCATCTACAAATCACCACTATCCCTTCACAAAATACTGGATTAGATTAAGTTGGACCCTTTCCCATTATTTTACATAGTAAACAGTACCCCGCGTACGTCCTCTCTTCAGCTGTCTTGCCATCAAAGCTGTTCATCTGCAAATTTCTTTTATCATCTCAAGTGACAGCACTTAACTCTGCATCAAACGCTTTATTGCTCAACGAGGAAAACCATCGAAAGGTTTCTGATTCTGGAACAATATTTTTTGGTTCTAATACTGAGCTGTCGAAATGCCTTGAAAGCTTACAGAAGAACAAAGAGTTTTGGGGCTTCATAAATTTATTGGACGTAACTTTTGAATGCAAATTCAACACTCCAGTGGGTGTCAATACACGAATTGATTTTAGAACCTATATACATTTTTGCATCGCAAATGTGGGCGGGTATCAAGTCCACGAATTGATTTTAGAACCTAACTACATTTTACAATACAACTAAGATAAAAACAATCAAATATTTCACAAAATCCAGTCAGTAACTTCACGCTTGATTCAAAACTTGAAATATAGGAACTTACTCCTTTGCAACAAAATTTCGGCTTTCAAGGTAACTGTTATCTTCACATATGCTTTCACTGGAATCTAACGTACTTTGTTCTTAGACTTAAACTTTTTTTATTCGATTGGTACCCCTTTTAGTCCCGCTCTCTTTTTTTTCTAATATACTAATTAGATAAATCGTAACCAATTGAAAACACTGTTTCCGGTAAATATATATTTACAAGTTTCTACTCAAGATTAAGACATTACATTTTTATGGACTACTTGGACTGAAATCTTCTACTAGTGCACTAAAATATAGCCAATCGAAGATTGAAAAAGAGTAATAAAAGAAAGTAAACATTAAAAAAAACACTGACTTTGTTGAAAAAATCTCAACTTTCGATTTTCAAAGAACACAATAGATGCCCATTGATCTCTTTGAATTTCTTCAACGATTAAAGATTGGCGCTTTTTTGATAACATTAACCCAACTTGAGAAAACTGGATCAACAGGTAAGTTTTTATTCCGCTGGAAATCTAAAAATTAAAATTCACTTTCGAAACTGGAAGTCATTTACGTTTTTTTGCGCCATTTCCACGTTCGTATTTGGAGAGTGGTATTTACGTCATTTTCAGCAGATGAATTTCAATTAAACTCAAAAAGTGCATATATACTTGCGTGCATTCATAAACGCATCAATATGTATGAAAGCACATCTGTACTTATTGGAGACTGTTATGCACTTTTCAAAATTTTTCCTGAAAAAAAAAACAAAAATCAGCAAAACCTACAGAAGAGTCTTCACTGCGTTCATTACTCTTAAAAACGTGAACGTTTATATGGCACTAATACGGAAAAAACCACCAAAAACGAAGGAGCCAAAGCGCGCCAAAAAAAACGACATACAAAGCCTTTCAAAATTTACCCTAAAACGACATTTAGGTCAGTTTTTTTTCAAAAACAAGCCTGCGGTGCCCAAACTTTTGAAAAAACTTATCTTGATTGACCTAAAAAGAGGACGAAATGTGTTTCGGATAAGATTAGCACAGGATCAGGCGATCAAACAAGCTACTGCTCTTCCAAAGATACAGGACGGAAGGTTAATCATGACGGAGGGTTATTGTTCGCATTTGCGTTGGTGCCTGGCAAAATTGGGCACAGAGGCGAACCTTCGCTTCGCAAACCTTTGAGAGAAAACAGCTCTATAGAGAGCAATAATAAAAATTAGAAATAAGCCTCGAATTAGTAAAAATTCGGCTACCTCTGAGATTCGAACATGCGACCAAGAGATTAAGAGTCTCACACACTAACCACTCAGCCACGGAAGCTTAATAGACACCAAACACTAGCCACAGCAAATAAAGCAGAGAACAGATGCTATACAATTTCCAATGCTACAAAGAAATATCCAAATAAGTGAACCCTTTTATTTGCTAGTTAGGTTAGAAAAAAGAAGGTTCGTAATAACACACTATGCTGATCGCAGGTGTAAATATGATATGCTAGCCCAGCATATATCGAATGTTCTTCGCCTGGTTCATCGTGACTGGTATTGACTGGAGTTGTTGCTGGTTCGGGTTTTTGTCGGCGTACTTTCTTGAGCCTCGCTAGGTTTACCGACGATTGATGAAATGGCAAAATGGACACGTGCCTGGGGCGGAGCCCTGACACTGTTTGTCATGGTTCGTCACGGCACTGGCGAAAGTTGTGAGGCATTTCTTGCATTCTCGTTTTCTTTTCTATTTTTTCGATGCATTTTTGTGATATGAATCTTGATGTTTCAGGTAGATTGTTTCGGGCATAGATCATGTGCCATGAAAATCACCGTCATATAACTATCATCATCATCATCAGGGGCGGATTTGCGGAGAAGGCGGTCGCCCCCTAGCCCCCCCCCCCCCCCCCCCCCTGCCGACCTTAATGGTCCCCTTTTACTTTTTTGAGATATCAATTGTTGGCGACGTACCCTAAAATTTGTCTATGGGCGCCTTCGGCACCAATCAATATATACTAACTTTGAAGATATTTTTAGATCAAAATGTTCGAAAAAAGCCTCAAAATGCCCTTTTGGCCGTTTTTTTTTACAATTTTGACTGCGGCGCAGAAATTTAGGCCAAAACAGGGTCTTTTGATTGCTTTGGGAGAACTCGGAAAATCAATTTGGCGGGTCGACCTAAAAAAAGCCCACAACATTTTCGAAATTCTTTTGAAACCCAACAGTCAATCAAGTCCATCTAAATTAGTGTAATAATAATCCTCAGAGGAATTCTTATATACACGGAAGCCGATCCAATTTGATCATTTTATTTTTCAAATGAACGCCACTAGACAGGATTACGTTTAAAAATGCGCCCTTCATTTCTCTACCCAACTTCAATTCATATTTCTCTTCTGAAATTCACTGACGAGAAAAAAATCTCATTTTCGTTAGATTCTAAAATTGGACTAGTGAACTGTTCTCTTGTATACAGTATTTTATAATATTTAGTTGTGCAGAAATGAATCGATGAGAAATTAACTCTTCATCTTCATCTCAATTATAAAGTGAAAAATAGACGAAAACTTACCTTAATAGCACACTGTCCATGTGCATCACTCGTACCATGATAAACATTAGCCTCTTTTCCCGTAGAGACACACCCATTGATGGATGAAATGACCTTCCTAGCTAGCAGTCTAAACAGGATAATTCTCGTGCGAGGATCCATCACCTGTTCTGTGGTTGCTCTGTCTGATTTGTCACGCTCACGCGCACGGTCTCCGTCCAGCTTCTGAAATAACAAATTGTTATATATTTTCTATTACACTTTCCATTTTTATTTCTGGTATACTGATTCTTCAGCTTGTTCGCTAAACATTTTTTTCTAAATTATCGAAAAAAACTCTGTGGAACAATATTTTTCGGATACCTTGTTGATATAAAAAACCGCCATGAAGACATGTTTTACACGATAAACGTCCCAACACCTTCTAGCAGCAGCTATTACGCAAACTATATTTTTGGTGAAACTTATGGCGAAATAACGAGCTAATTCTACTGGAAAAGTAAAAAAAATTTCAACATTCATGAAAGATTTTCACCAACAGCTAATTCATTAACCACAGTTCAACCGGTTATAGGCGGAATGTTATCGCCCATAGTCCGGTCAAGAGAAGAAAATCCAATTTTATCAGCCGTACAAGCGACCAGAAGTTTCAAAGTTACAGAACTATTTAAGAATTTCAATGGCTTCGACAGTGCTCATAACTATGAAAACTAATTTTGTTCAGAGAACCTGAATGCGTCGTCTGCTTACTACAAAATATAATTTGTGGTCGGCTGATGGAATAATCTAATTCACTTCAAAAGTTTTAACCACTTTCGTTCTGACTACTGAGAGTGAGGAGGAACTTTGTCTTTGGGTGTGTTTTATTTTATGATTTTTTTCCCACGCAAAATCAGGTACCACAAATAATCACTGAATGGGTCGAGTGATATATCACAACCAGCTGGTGGGCATGGTCGAATATCACGAGGACAACAAAACCTGAAATATAGCCCCTGCCAAGTCTATTCACAAAAACCATCTAGCCGCGTCACACTGTTGAGTGTTAAGTTTGCATTATTGGTGGGCTTTAAAAACGACCAAATATTGTGAAAATGAAAAAATGAAGATAAAAGAATTTCTGCTTTACGGCTAGAACTCTATAGAGTCAATAATAACCTAGTCTTTTCAAACTTACCTTCGAATACATTCCAACGTCCACTTTGTGTTCATACTTCTGACAGAACTGTTTCGTTGAAAACGTCGCACTCACACAATTGTCGCCGTAGTCATCGTCCAACTGCAACTCCTTCACCAGTTCTGCCATCTCAGCTTCGGCTAATTGCTGTTCGTAGACATCTTCATCTTGGCATTCTTCGCTGTCGCTTTCACCTGAAAAGCGATCACTCAATCGAGTGCTGAAAGTAGACGAAAAAAATTAATTAATGATTCCGACATTTTATGTCAGTCTTGCTAGTGTTTAGTTTCAGGCTTCTTTTCAATGAGATTACAACTCCGTTCCAAAAAATTATCGCTGATGAAAAGATTGTAAGTGATTCTCAGAGCACAACAGAAAATCCTAGCAAGGAAACTGATAGATTAAATCGTTAATGCATGTATATTTAAAAAAATGTTAAGCCCTGGGTAAAATAGCTTCAAATGATTTGTGATAGAGATAAATTCTTAAATTGGTAGTTTTGACTACAATTGGCATTTTTGAGAGATATATTCATTCCACGCTCAATTGGTTTACAAAAAAAAATGGATCTACTTCACAACCACCCCCCATATTTCAAAAAAAAACTGTCGAATTTTTGACCAATCAGAATGTAGGAAAATTACAGTTCTCAAAAGGGTTAGTTTACCTTTTTTTATTTACAGGTGTGGAGACTCTTTGGATCTACTTAACAACTTCCCCCACCCCAATGGTACTATGAGTTGTATCTATCAGGGGCGGATCTAGGGCTTTCTCGAGGTGGGGGGGGGGGGCGGATTTTCAAAAAATTTTCGAAAATTTTGACCTTTTTTTTAGGTCGACCAAATTGATTTTCCGAGCTCTCCTAAAGCACTAAAAAGAGGCTGTTTTGGCCAAATTTTCTGCGCCGCAGGCAAATTTTTGAAAAACAGGCCAAAAAAAGCCGTTTTGGTGCACTTTTTGAAAAATTTTGACAAAAAAATCGCATCCAAAAATGAATTTCTTAAAAAGTACCAAATAGGGGGACGCTTTGGGCCGGCAGGGGGTCGAATCCCTGAGGAGGGGCGTCCGCCCCTGGTATCTATGGTATCTAGAGTTGTATCTATGGTATCTAGAGATACCCTCTAGGGTATATAGAGTTGTGGATACCATAGAGGGGGATGGTTATAAAGATTTTAAAAAACGAAGCAACTCACCCGAGGACAACTCGTTCAAAGCGTTAGCTTCGTCTGTGTTTGCTATATCGGTTGTTATTTCCGAGGTATCACTAACAGTTGCATGTACAACCAACTCAGTTTCTGCCATTTATATTTTATGCACTTCAGTTGCGATGCTTTCAAGAATTAGAACTTAACACCAGCAGCAAACCTCAGATAATCTCTAAAAACAGAAAAAAATACTAATTATGCAGCAAAAAACCTCTATTTTGCTTTGCACGCTGCTCTGAAATTCGTACAAATTCAGTCTAAATAATCCAAACTGAGCCTCACAAGCAAATAAAAGGTCGCAAAAATGACGTACTAAAAAATCAGTGACTTCAAATATAAATTTAAATCTATTAATTTTATATTGGTACACTACGTCACGTTAAATTTAGAATGATTGAATCAATTCAAAACAAAATAGCTTTGTACCAGCATCAAATCAAACTCATCGAATAATTAGTTTTGACTAAACATTTAAAAAAAATCTAGAACATTCGAGAACTTTCACGAATTGTTCGTAGTAGGAAAAGATGAAGAATCTTTCAGTGCTCCGTATGGGTCTCGTTTGGGCGGCGGCTGCAGGATTGAAGTGATTAGCAAACTAGATACAATGATCCCACAGCAAGTCAGACGAAGATAAATTACCATCATTGGTGTTTTACGTCTCATTTCTATTGCAGAGATAAATTTAGATTTATAATAGCTTCTATTGCAAAAAAAGAAATCGATCTTGTTAACAGTACCCCCTCCCCCCTATGGTACCTTGTAATGAATTAGGACGTTTTTAGCAAAAAAAATCTGTGACTAAATTTCTAAGACCTTCAAAAATATTTGCGTATAGAAATATTTCTTCGTAAACTAAGCCAAACTCTCAATCATATCTTTTTCAGACCCTCACTTGTTTGTTTTGGTTCCTAAAACTGATAACTAAGGAATTTGGAAGCGTAACTTTAAAATTGATCCCTGGCTGCATTTTTCTAAGGCGTTTAATATAGGATCCTCCGGCAAAGAAAGTGACAAAAGAGGCTCCGAGACCCACAGCTACAAGTGGGTTTTCCTCCGCTTTCTGCCGGAAGCGGGACTTCTCCGAGTAGCGCGAATAGGGCCCCGACATGCTTAACTGAAAGTGTAATGAAAAATCTAACATTGTTAAACTATTTCAATTTCTTTTCAACAAAAAGGAGGAAAATCTTTATAAACAGGGGAAAATAACTGGATCTGAGGCAGGTCTGTCACTTTCATAGATAATTCGACAACTTCCATTAAATTGAATGAAAACATTCGCGTTTTCGCATGTGAAAAATAATGCCAAAAAGGGGTTTCTATAAAGTTCTGGAGAGCTCAGTAAATCAATTTAGCCGACCCTAATTCAGTTTATTACCTCATCTCCACCCCCTTCCCATCCCTCCCCCCCCCCCACCCCCCACACACACACCCAAGAGAAACTTTTTTTGTGAAGCACGCGCAGAACAGCTTCTGTTATCATTTGAACACAACACCAGAAGGCCTCAACGTAGTTCCAACAAATTGTTGAAATACTGAATGCATCAGAGGAATGGATAACTTTCAACACGTAATCTCCTTATAATTTTATGCCATTCACACAAAAGGGAACCAGAGCTTGGCATCATTTGTGATACAACGCATCCTTGCATTGCAAGGTAGCGAATCAAAAAGAGACGGAAAATTAAAATATCAGAAAAACAGTCGAGAGACACAACTACAAGCATTGAATAAAGGTTCAAAAATTACCGAGTGTACGACAAGGGTACACCGAGTGTACGACGTATTTACCGACGCGGTTACACTTCCCCTGAGTAAAAAAGCGACTAAGTTTTGAGCGATTAAGTTAACCTTTCAACTTTTACACCACGACCGACCTGAATTGTTTTGAATGAAAAGAATCAACTTTAGCTACAGAATAACTTGAATAATTATGAAACTGATTAAATTTTTTTGTAAATACTATGATCGACTACAAAAGATGCAGTTTCATTCAAAAGACAAGTAGTTTAAGAACTGACGGCCTTTGAAAATGAGCCCAAAATAACAGATGAAAGTATGGAAAAATTTTATTTTTGCTCTTTCCACGTTTGCTTAACTCCCGTAGTTGCGAGAAACTCTTGGAAGAGTTTTGCTTATCAAACTCACTTTTAATCTATCCGTTTTGTGTTAGAAGCAGTTCACACACTAATTTTATCGATATCACACTTTCAAGTCAATATCAAATTCCAAAATACATCAGAGGCTTTGAGAAAACTAACTCCGGCTGTTGTTTCAATTTTGATTTAAAACAAACTAAGTTTTGTGTTAAAAAACAGCAGTGAAAAGAAAGGGAAAATCGAAAAATTACTAAAAAGAAAAACCGGATACTACGAGATTCGAGACGGTACCTCCGGACTAAGAGTCACTTGTATATATTGCCTAAACCTACCTTCACGGTAAGTTTATTCTCAAATCTGGCAAAAAAAATACACTTTAATGAAGCAGATATAGCTAGATCATATGCTGTGTAATTAAAGCATAAGCCAAGTATAAACCTACGCTCAGAAGATTGTTGGACTAAAAAAGAATATCATCATACTATCATACTGGTAGTAGTTCCCCTTCAGCGTCATCATTGCAAAAAATCTTCAATAATATTTCAATCTTTCTTCATGTTTCTGCTTTTTTGGGAGCGACGGAAGGTTTATGTGCATTTTAAGCGAGGCCTCGCAAGGCAAAGCTGCATGTGCAAAAACAAGCAACACTTTCAAGGAATTTTCTCCTGAATTAAATAAATTTTGAGTTACCCTTTTTCGGCTCCAATGGGGACTCACAACAATGGAAAATTCACTCACACTTATCCGAAAAATCCAGCCTGAAAAAGCCAGCAGCAGGTTTAATTCAAGAAAACCGAAAAATTGGCTGATTACTTTTGTAGCTGAATACTTCGGGCTGCAAAATCGGCTGATTACACTTGTATCGAAAAAAATTTGCCGACAGACGGTTGGAAAATCGTTAAGGAATACAAAAAAAAAACAAATAATTGATCCCTTGGAAAATCAATTAAACTTTATGATTGACATTTTTACCAAAAAAAAACTCAATCATAAAAAACTGCATCTAAACGCTTTTTATTCCGCTGGGAAAACTAAAAAACTTAGCCAACAGACAGTTGGAACATAGTTTCCGGGATCTGATTATTTTCATGATTTCGAAAGTTTTCAAATAAAGACTGATTGATGTTTATTATTTATTTACGCTTAATACAGCGATTGATTACAGATGATATACTCACGGATTATTGAAATTGAATAACTAACTTAAGCCACAGCGCTATAAACTTCAAATTTAGTGAATTTTAAAACTTACAAAAAATCATAATAAACGTCATAAATTGAAGCTTAAAGGAAATGAGCAGTCATAGTTGGAGACCAGATTTGCAATCACTGGGAGTAACTTGACAGCTCTCCACATGGGGGTTGATAATTTTTTTTAAGCCCATGAAAAAGTTTTGAGATTTCGCGTTCCAAAAAATAAGAAACAACTGTAGGGTTAAAGCATTCGTGTTCGAGCATATTTCGGCTGAAAACCGTGGACGACTTTGGAAATTTAAAATCAATTGTTCGTTGAAACAAACAGAACTACTTTAACATTCGTACTAAACGGTGCAATATATTCACATTTTAAGGTATCCACATTAAGACTTGAACATTTTACATATCATTACATGGACTTCAGGACTCAAGTGAAACGCCAAATGAACGATGTTTAGTTCCTGTTCCGGTGGACCACTCCTACTCCCGCGACATCATGAAGTAACCGGAATATTATTAATAACCTGAGCTATGCGACTCGCCCATTGTTCACTCAAATTTGATCTCTGCCCACTTTGAGTCAAACACAAACCGTTAGACTGATTAGTTAACTGATTGTTAGTCTGGTCAAATTTTCCTCGTCGCTAACTTTGCCACCATCTCTATTTCTCCTTACTCAAGTACAGAAGATTCGTTAGATACTGTAATCAATTGAATTAATTCAAAAAATGGGAACAAAATAAAATGGGGCAGCTGGCTTGCAGATTAATTACAGCGAAAGAATTACGAAATATAAAACAAAACTTACATCAAATGATTAATAACGCGAAAGATTCGATTCAAGTAGAGAAAGAAATCAATTCTAGCAAGCTTCGACTAGATTCACTAGCTGTAGATTAACAATTTAGAACCAATTTCCACAAATAAATTAACTACACGTTGTAAAACGACATACATAATACAGGGAACAAGTCTATGCTTGGGGTCACTCGTTTTTCCAGAAACTTTGGAGCTCCAAAATCGCAAAAGGGCGATCACTTGAGTTACCAATTGCCATGATCATACTCATTAGAAGCCAGATGCTTGTACGGGCGTTCCGAGCACCTATGATCGTATTGATTCTCTGGGCTTTCCGTGCGATCCAGTGGAATATTCAAGGGAAACGATCGGAAGTCAACCGGATTTGGATTCTCGACTCGGCGGTCTTCACTGGTCGACTGTCGGAAACTCCTTCGGTCAAGTTTGATTCTTCGTCCCGTAGAGGGACTTGGGTCGGTTGGCGAATGACTTGACGTTCCGACCGCACTCGCAATGGTTCCGGGCGAGATCACTGGAGCTTCCCGAGGTGGACTTTGATCATTATTGTTATTATGTCGTCTCCAATTTTTCCAACTTTCAACCGATTCCTCATTATTATTCATCCTGTGAATCGGAATAATTGGCGGCGGATTCGACTCCAATGAGGCACTTCTTACTTGCGAGGGCGAAATTAAAGACGCTAAAAATTGTGATCTTCTAGGGGGTTCCGGTGTTGGATCCCGACCTAAATTGCTTCGCCAGGGAAAATCTGCGGATCCTGCCGAAAAACTTCCAGGCACGGAACTTGACGGCGACGTGCCGAGGCGTCTTGCATTACCAGGAGCTCCACTCCAGGTTCTAGGCGAGTCCCACTGGGTACGATTCCTGTTCAGATCTTGCTCCAATCTTTGAAACGAATCTTGAGGAGCCGCGGAACATTCAGATTTTTTATTAGGCATTATTGACTCAAAGGAGTCTTCTATAGGTTCATGTGAGAACGTAGACCCATTTTCGGAATGTTGAGATGAGCTCTCAAGTGATATTGGTTTTGGCCTTCCGAACGAAGGAATATTATCCATTAGTAGCCCTATAGGAATTTCAGGCACAAAATTATTGATATCGTTATTTGGCGCCTCCTGACTGAACGATTGATTTACAGAGGAATCTTGACTTAGCATTGATGTTGTATGACGCCAATCAACATCATGAAAAGTTTCATAGTTTCCATTTTCCGGATTGGCAGTTTGATCGAAATATTCTTGATTCCCAATAGAATTAGTTTGACAATTATTTTCTTCGTTTACACATGAAGCTTGATTTGCGAATGATTGATCAATGCAATCGTAAAATTTTTCATTTTCTTCGAGGAGATTTTGTGATTTAACTTCATTTTCAATTTCGGAATTGGGATAGATAATTTGTCGGCTCTCTTCATTTTCGACTTCGGCGTCCGAGTAGCTCAGTTCAATTTCACAAACTTCTATGCTTCCTTCGTCATCTGTGAGAGAATTAACCAATTCTGGCACTTCAGTTTTCACCTCCAATACTTCCGATTTCGAAGCAAAATCTGAAGCATCTTTGCTAAATTTTAATTCGGAACTTTCATCACAGAATTCCGTTTTAAAACCAATGTTTTCCAATTGAGCCGAACTTTCATTCAAATCTGTTTCAGATTTAATATTCAATATATTTTCTTTTACTTCAACTGCTAAGTTCTTATTACTCGAGATATTAGTTTTGATTTTTAGGTCTGACTTTTGACTAGACGCAGTATCCGCCAAATTTTGATTCGCCTGCAAGATTGACTTTTGTTCTGAAGAACGCATTTGTAAAAACTCGGATCTGATAATTTCTGGCTCCGGTGAACGGTCAACGTACTTGGGTGAATGACAAATTTTGGCTTGTTTCGGGGAAGGAATTTCATCTGAGGAGGAATCCGTTCGTTTTGTTTTACTTGAAATGATCATCTCAACATCGGGAGTGGTCGAATCAGGAAGCGTCGACTCCTCGACTACGATTCTAGACGTCGGCAAATTCAAACTATGGGCATTAGTTATAACTCCACTAGTTACAAAATTACTATCACTACATTGCACTTCTTTAGCTAATGGACTGGATTCTGACTCATAGAATATCTCAGGCTCTTCTATATTATAACTTCTAGTACTTGAAACTGAATTAGTTCTAACTTGGACTCCTATTTCGCCGTCTGAAGAAACAGTTGAATCACAAACAAAAAATGCATCGAAAACATTTTTCCTTTTCGGGTCATGATTTGAAAGGTCGACATCGATATTGATATTATTGTTATTATGCAATGTTGCCGTATTTACTTGACAAACAGGGCTATTATTTGTCACTTTTCTAAGAGGATAGACTGAATCCGTGCGATTAGAAACATCCTTTCTCCTAGGCGACGAGCGTTCTGGTTCCAAATTTTTATTCGATTCCGTCGCACCGTTCATCGTAGTATTGTCCGCTCCTTTTTCTGATTTATCTGGAGATCTTGAAGAATTTCGAGTTGATATTACACTTTTTGGTGACGCTTCTTTATCATTGTCATCTGACTCCTCTGATAAATCTCCGTTTTTGATTTCATTTTCGTCGTTTTTAGTTTTGAGACTTTTCTGTTTCTTTCGATTCTTCGGAATTTTGTAATCTTTGAGAGAAGGTAGCCTCTGTACTGATTGACCATGTTTTGCTCTTTTGCTTTCTTGATAATCATTCACTTCCGATTGTGGTGTAGAATTACTAAACTTTGTCGACTTTTGACTTGAATCAATGCCGTTATTTGATACTTCACTTTTCGATGCCTCAACTGAGCACTGAAGTCGTCTCTTCGCCGCTCTGGATTTCTCTTGACTGGTCAAGTTACTCTCATTTGAGCCCCATTTCCTTTTACCTCCTTTGATATCGAATCTAGGGAACATTTGTCTGGCTCTCAGCTTAGATGCTTCAGCTCGTGTCATCTTAGCACCAGCTCCTGATCCGGGAGGCCTTGGTAATATTTTCACAAGCTCTGAATTATTTTCATGCTTCAAACTTGACGACGAACCGTTGTGTGTCGATATTTCCGACCGAGTTGCTCTTTTGCTCGTGATCGGCGAGTATTTTGCATTATCAGGGGCGAACAACTTTTCAGAAATATTGATTTTACTACACGTTTTATGTTTATTAGTCTTTTCTGTCATCGCTATATTGGGAAGTGTCACTATTATACCACCTGAATTTGATTTCCTAGGTTCATTTTGCTTGGAATCTGCAGTTTTTTCATGAAGTTTCTTTGAATTATCTGCACTGAGCTTCGGCGTTTCAGCTTTTGGCGGGGAAGCAAATTTTCCATCGCTCTTCCGAAATGTATTAGAGGGTCCTGGTGTCTTTTTAACATCAGGGCTACTCTGTGGTGTCATAGACAAATTAAACCTTCTCAACTTTCCCGTTTTCGATTCTTGAACTGTCGAATTAATCGTTTCTGTTTCCTTTTTGATTCCATTTGGCGTTTCCGATTCTTTTTTGACATCTCCCAGTAATTTTCGATTTGGAGTTTCTGGTATCTCCATTTTAGAAGCAAGACTTTTCCGCCGTTCAACTAGCAGCTCACTTTCTCTTATTTCTGAGCTGTTAGACCTCGGATCCGATTTTCGCTTGTGTTTCCTCGATTTATTTTTGTCGTCTGTGGTCGGAGGTCTGCCTCTTACTCGAGGGGAGACTAGAGTGACGTCTGGTTCCGAGTCCTCGGAAGACCCGATAGCGGAAGGCGAGGTCAAGCGCTAAAAAACCCACGTTATTGCTACTCTCACGATACCAGTGAAATGGAAACTTCCAAAAACTTCGTATGATCTTTCAACAAAACCTATTTAAATTCAAAATTGTCTATGTGAAGCGTTTTCATATTGCACTTTTAAAGTTAAAACAGGCAGCTAACGAGTTGGACTGACATTTAACAAACAATAAAAACTAGAACTGTTTGGGTCTTAATTAATGTCGATATTCCATGCCATACCGTAAAACATAGAAAAAACATCGGGAATTAGGAAAGATAAAACAATCGATTATTTCCTATCATGGCCAATTAAAATGCCAGCGATACCCTTTCGTTCAACGATACTGTCCGAGGTTCAGTGATGTAAATTGGGTCAAAAAATTAACCGAAAATGAAACATTTTCACCGTGAGTTAAGGAGATCAAAGACAACGATATTATTTCCAACTTCGGATCAAGAATAAAAAGATGCTGCCTCACCTTATGGGGACTTGGTGATCTAGATCGATCTATTGGAGTCCAGTGCAGATACCTCGCATCCAGTTCTATTGAGGGTCCTTTAGCTTCTTTTGCCTTCAACTCTTCCTGCTGCCATTTTGTTACCTGGAACACAAGCTGAAGATTATCGCTTCGATAAGACGTAAAGCATTGATAATCATCTATGGTTGGCCTCGAGCTGAGGTACCTGGGCCACTTTTCCAATAAAAAGCGCAGGCACTAGTGATTTCGCCATCAAGATCATTTTTTCAAAGATGTTATTTTTTCACATGAAAGTCAATTTCAAAAAAATTACCGGCGATACAACACAAACATAGCATGGCAAGCTAGCCGACAGAAAATGAACTGATAGTAAACTTGGGGTCTTTTTCATTATGACCTCGTCCTCCTCTCCTTTCCTCTCCCCACCCAATAATTTACTTAATAAGCAGTTAATAATAATTTACTGAAGCAGCTCGTTCTGTAATTTACACATCACAACCGACCTTATTATTTTGAAAACAATAATAACCAATTTTTTCCCTGCAAGCGACCCAAAATAAATTGATTAGGCCAAATAAAACTGATTAATTCAAAAACTTTGAAGCGAAAAACAACACCAAAACAATGATAACATGCAGCGTCTAAGTTAACAAAATGATAAAATTACAGTAGAACAACAACACTTGAAACTACCATGAAAAATGTTTACAGCTCACGAAAAGTCTGCGATGAAGTAACTAAGCCGACAAAAATATGAATTTCATGTACACTGAAAAAAAATGCCAGACCAGGTCTTTGGGTGAACTAACTCCGGGTAATTGGGTGAAACGGTAAACGTGTTAAAACTATGCAAAGCGGGAAGGAGACTGAAATAGGTTAAGGTTCAAGGCAAATTCAGTTTCTCACACATTTGTAAGCATTGGTTAACGGGAAAAGCCTTGCTCACGAAGTCTTGTTCTCGACATCATCAAGTTTAATAGTAGAATCTATTTTTGCGTGTAAAAAAAAATAAACACTCGAATACAAATTTCATGGGCACTTTGTGTTCGGAACATCAAAAGCAGCTCATCAAGGTAAACATATAGGACTCCAAAACTCGATATTTTAGATTTCAGATAAAAATGCATATTTTAGCCTTCAAAACTGTATGAGCGGTAATCTTATCGTAGTTGGATCCCCAGAAAATACAAACATGAACAATGGATCCTGTCAGTTTTACGAGGAGCTGAAAAACGCTATTAACCAATGCAAGTTTCCACAGCTTTTAAGGTGCATAAGTCTTCAAGGACCCATCTATATTGTAGGTAAGTATCATGCTTTGAGCCTCAAGAGCTTTCGCGACCATATAGTATAATATTCTGATTAACCTCAATGCACACTTGTGGGACCTCCATTGAGTCCTTCGGTTTGGTTGTGGTGACGTAGCCCAGCTTCATCAGTGCCACTGCCACATCCGCAGCACTCATTCCAGTCATGTTGCACAGATCCCTGATCTTCAGTTCTTCCACAAAAGTGAAGTTCCGATCCAGCAATTTACTGATCACTCCTACATCAAGTACACACATGTACAAAAAATGAATAAAATGCAACAAAAAAAGTAAGCAAAAGAACTAGGAAAATCAAAAGCTCCTGTTTATGCTAAGACATTTTTTAATGTAAACTCAGCGGTGGATTTTAATTATTTTACATTTTAATATCCAACATGTTTTATTTCTAATACAGTGTAAATGATTCAAAATCGAGGCTGTTTCACCCAGGGATGAATCATTTACACAGTATTAGAAATAATACATGTTGGATATTAAAATAAAAAATAATTAAAAGCCTTGATTTTAAGCCAGGTAAAATATTGAGCTATTAATTAAATATGCTGCAAAATTATGTACACAAGAGGCGAAGCGGATGTACACTATGGTAAAAAAAAACTAAAAATTTAAAATATATGGTTGAATTCAAATGAAATTCAATCTGAACAGCTACGTATTGTAGTAGTCTCTATTTCAAAATATTTCATGTCAACAAAGGACAAAAACTACTAGTGAAAACACTAATTGCTTTTTAAATATTGTATCTTAAATCTAATAATACTTAAAACTGCGCTGAACATATTCCAAAACGGAATTTTTCAGAAAAAAGATGACTTGGAGTAAGCGAGAAGTAAACGAACCATACGGTTAGTTGCAGCAAAAATAACTAGAATCGAATTTTTTTCTGATTACTCGGGTGTTTTTTCTCAGTTCAATTCATCACATAATCAGCGCATATATTGTAACAAGAGCCTTCGCATATCAAGGCAAAGCCCTGAATGTTCCAACTAATTTTTGGATTCCCAAAATGGCGCAAAAAACTCCAATACTCGAGTAAAACTAAGTTTTCACGGCATAAATTAAACATAACACAGAAGTGAAGCTTCGCTTAGAGAACAATGGCGAGAACACGACAAAAAGCAGCTCTAGAAAGTTCAATTAGAAAAAATAGAAATATGCCTCGAATTAGCAAAAATTCGGCTAGGTCTAGGATTCGACCTGCGACCTACTCTAACCAAGAGATTTTGAGTATCACGCACAAACCACTCAGCTTCGCACGCTTAACCACATACAACCACTAGTCACAGATAGAGCAGCTCTATATGCTAAAAAATTCCCAATACGATTCAGCAAAAATGGCACCAATACAAATAGACACAATTTTGCAAGTACTAATTTGGAATATAACAATCTAAAGGCATCCACTCAAACTTTGCATGAAACAAATTGCAAAGCTAAAGCCAAATAATGAATAAACTATGCATTTTTAAAAATTGCCAGATATATTGAGTTAGAAATATTCTGCAATTGACTTTTTATTATTGCTGTTGTTTGAAACAAATAAGCTTTTTTCGATTAATTTGATGAATGAAAAATGCATCAACTGTCTTAAATTATTACTATTCGAATGTCAAAGCACGTGCTATCAAAAAGCTGTAATGGTGTCACAATAGTGGCACCAATATTTGCGACTTAGGTTAGAAAAAAAAATAAGTTTCTAAACAATACACTAAGCTGACGCGAATGTAAATAAGCTACTTAAAGCCTGCTCGCTCACCTTATTCGCTCGAAATTAGAACAAAAATTTCAAACAGAGTTGTATAAACACGTGAAAAACTATTTTTCAAACTTTCTAAATGTCATTCGAATCACAACTGAAAGCGCCTTAATATGATTTATCACTCGACACATTGTGGTACCTGATTTTGCGTAGAAAACAATAAAAAAGAAAAAACTAAAACACATCAGAATTCAAAGTTCATCCTCATTTTCAATGGCAGCACCCCAGAAGCATCGACCGTCACGCTAAAAATTTGATAGGGCTTTAAATCTGCTCATATGGAGCAATTGAGCAAATAAAAGACCAAAAACTATGCTGATTTATTTTTCAGACATAAAAAAAATCAAGATCAAAATTTTAAAATATAGCCAATCGAAGATTGGAAAAGAAAAATGAACGCAAATAAACATAAAAAACACTGACTTTCTTGAAAAAATCTCAACTTTCGAATTTCAAAGGAAAAATAGATGCCCTTTAAGCTGTTTGAATTTCTAGAACAATTTATGATTGACGCTTTTTTGAAAACATGAACCCAACTTGAGAAAAATGGATCAACAGTAAAGTTTATATTCCGCTGGAAATCTAAAAATTCCTCTTTCGAAACTAGAAATCGTTCACAATTTTTTCGCGCCATTTCCACGTTTGTATTTGGAGAGTGCTATTTACGTCACTTTCAGCAGATAAATTTCAATTGAACTCAAAAAGTGCATTATACCTAAAGGCATCAATATTTTAAGTCTTTTTCCTGCAAAAAAAACAGCAAGACCTATATAAGAGTCTTCATTACGTATTCAAATAAGAATTTCAGGTGGACTCCCAGCAAGTATACAACTACCATTTAATCTTTAAATCTTGATTATACTGAGAGTTTGAAGAAAAATGAGCGGAAACCAAGCTCATATAATTTCGGAGGAAATCGTTCAACCAAAAAATCGTGAACACGACTCAAGCTGAGCATACGCATAAAAACTCATTCTGGCAACAACGCCGACTAAGTTGGTGCCGAAAAACTGGAAAAGTTCAGACAATGACTAGAACTTATTCCCATTTCGGAAAACATTCGACGACCTATGTGCCTTTTAGAATATTATGCGCAGATGAATCAGCACATTAAAAAAGACTTTTTTTGTTTGAAAATTAATTGCATAAAATCCGCAAACGCTTTTTTCGATCAAATCCCACCAACGCTTTTTTTAACAATTAGACAAAACTAGATCAGTAGATTAGTTAAAATCTAGGAACTAATACGAGAGCGTAGTTTTCCTTCTTCCTTTTCGCGAATGCATTTGAATTGAACATAAAAATAAATAATGTCAAACTACTTAAGATAAAATTAGGCGTTATCCTGAAGAAACTAAACTCACCACATCTATATAAGTGTTATCAGTACGTTCATTGACATTTAAAAACGATCCAAGCAAACAAACATTCAGGTTAATCCTAAACACTAAGCTTTTGTGGAAAAACAACCAAATATATAACTCCAAATATGCAAAATTGGTTCTCTGAACATTCAAAAAAAGATCTGGATTTGCTATTCGCAATGATCACCTTTCCAGTAGCAGTAGTAACTTATTCTTCCCAGGTCACTAAGTGGTTTCTCCGGACTACCCAGTTGGTTCTCTGCCCGACTTAGGAGGTAGGAGAAGTCGATGAGGAGTTTGCCGTAGCCTTTCTTCTGGTACGAAGGAAGAACCATAATACAACTGAGATTGTACTTCTGTTGGCAGAACTTTTCCTAAAAAAACATCATTGTAAACTTCAACTATAATCCACATTAAACAATTCATGAAAATTGAAAAAGATTCAAAAACGATAAAAATCTACAAAGTTTGTAGTTTAATTATTTTTCCAACACTAGGACTTGGTTTTCAGTTTTCAATGGGTTATTGAATTAATTATGTAGACGCAACTGATTGTAGATTTATTCAGTATAAAACATTTCAATCAGCTTAAATGTATTCGTTGAAGAAAATAATTTGAATCTTACCTTCGAGAAGTACCCCACAAAATGACACCCCCTCGCATTATCCACAGCCAAAACATAAAACAAAAACGGCTCCACGTCATAATACAGCGTCTTATGATCCAGAAACAACTTGGCCAGCAAGCATATATTCTGGCAATACAACTTCGCCTGATTTCCATCCACTTCAAAAATTGCTAAATTATTCTGCCTGTAGATCTCTCGGCCAGGGGGGTGTCGATTAGCACACTTGCGCATATGGCCGATGAGCGTTTGTCTAGACTTGACATATTGCAGACACATTTCACAGAGGAATAGTCGTTGTAGCCTATATTCTTGTGGGTATGGTGATGAGTACCATGTTGTTATTTCACATTGCGCAAATTCGACGACTGACGGACATCTGAAAAATTAAACGGTTGATGCTAGGTTCATGGAAATATACACTTTTTTCACAAACCTAGCCTATAGAGGAAAAGCATAGCCAACAGACAGTTGTAAAAAAGTCATAAACGCATAAAAACAGAAAAACATAGCCAATCGAAGATTGGTAAAGAGTAATGAACGCAATTTAACATTAAAAAAAACACTGACTTTGTTGTAAAAAATCTCATCTTTCGAATTTCGAAGAAAAAAATAGATGCCTTTTCAGCTTTTTGAATTTTTAGAACAATTTATGATTGGCATTTTTTTGATAACATAAACCCAATTTGAGAAAACTGGACCAATGGGTAAAGTTTTTATTCAGCTGGAAACCTAAAAATAAAATCCACATTCGACACTAGAACTCGTTCACGTTTTTTCGCGCCATTTCCACATTCGTATTTGGAGAGTGCTAGTTACGTCACTCTCAGTAGATGAATTTCAATTAAACTCAAAAAGTGCAATATACCTAAGTGCATCAATATTTTAAGTTAAGACTTTTTCCTGGAAAAAACAAACAAAAAAATCAGCAAGACCTATATAAGAGTCTTCACTACGTTCATTACTCTTAAAAATACTGACTTGAAAACTTCAACTTTCCAATTTCAAAGAAAAAAATACATGGCCTCCTTGAATTTCGCGAACAAAAAATGATTGACACTTTTGTGATAAAATTAACCCAATTTGAGAAAACTGGATCAATAGCTTAAGTTTCACTTCGCTGGAAAATCTGAAAAAAAATCCTATTTCGAAACTAGAAGTTATTCACATTTTTTGCGCCATTTCAGCTTTCGTAATTGGAGAGCGCAATTTAACTTTTAGCGAACGAACTTAATTGAACTCCAAAATTGCACGTACCTAGGGTCATTCATAAATGCATTAACATGTATGGATGCACTTCTGTAACTATTAGAGCATTTTAAGACTTTTTCCTGAAAAAATACGAACAAAAAATCACCAAGACATATATACGAGTAATCACTACGTTCATTGCTCTTTACTAGGTCTAAAAGCAAATTTTTCTTTCGCCGGGAGATTAAATTCCTCTTTCGAAACTAAAAGAAATTCCCTACATTTCCACTTTCGCAATTAGGATGATTAATTCGCTTTCCTTGCAGCAAATGAATTCGAATTGAACTTACAACTAAAGAAGTCCTGTTTTTTTTTAAAAAAACAAGACCTAGTAAAGTAAATAACAGCTTAAAATTAATGCAGAAGTTCTTACTGCCAGAATTTTTCTTCCAGGCTTGAACTGATAAAATAGTTTGAATGAAACGCCAAATTGATTTTTTTTTTTGCAATGCAGTACTCGCCTGATGTTCGGATTATCGATGCGAGTCAGTCCCAGTTCGCTTTCGATCTCCGCTTTCTTCATGAGGTTCCAGTCTTCCATGGAGCAGCCAGGCGGGAGGTTCTTGGGAACTGGGATCGACTTCAATTGCTGTTCGGTAACTATTCGCGCTTTTTCCTCTTGCTGCTGGGACGAATGGGACATGTCTAGAACAATTCAATTTTCATTAATTAAATTTTAACGGCCTTAAAAAACTATAACAACAAAAACTTCCTGTTTGTATCGGATGAGGTTCATAAATAACCTTAGAACAAATTGATAACCAATATTCAAATTTTTCGCCCAAACTTTAAGCGAAAACGAAAACAATGAGATATTCTAAAAATCTAAAAATAAGGATAGCCGCCAGTTGCTGAGCAAGTAGCATATGAAGTTCGAACATTCAAAACTTATGTAAAAACAAAGCAAATCGAACTTGAAACAAGGAAAAGTGGTTACAGTGCAAGTAGCACAAAATGTTCCGACCATATTCATAAAAAAACTAGAAACGGTTTTTTTTCTTTTCTTCAAATTAGTGTCGTTTTTTTTGCGCGGTTAATTCGAAAGCTATACAAACGTGTAAAAAATAGTGATTTAGGCATAATCGGGGGCTATTCTCATGCACGAAGGACTAATGAGCGAAAAAATTCGTGAACGAAAGACCGAAAACAAAATGAGCCGAAATTTTTAAAAAGAAGCAATTGCCATTCAATTAAAATGAACTAAATGAAGCAATGTTTTGCTTCTTTCATAACGAAACCCTTGAAATATAAAATTTGTCCCAATTTTGCAGCGGTCAATAACAATTTGAAAATTTTGCATATTTCTGCCGTTTTTATATTCGGCCTATATCAATACTCCAGTCCCTGGAAATGTTTACTTTCTTTCCAAATTTTAGATTACTGAAATCTCATTAGCTGATTTTTGTTTTCGCGCACTCGGTCCTTCGCGTATGAGGGATTCCACCGGCAAAACCGACAACATTTTAATTCAAAAAGCGAATACCAAATAGAAAAAGGAAAAAATAATAATTTTACTTTTATTTTTCGGATAACCTTTTTTGCCAAATAATTGCTGAATGAAATATCCAAAACTAGTTTTTTTTAGTAAAATCAAGTTTTGTGAGCCTAAAAGTCATTTTTTCATATAACGAACATTACTCGCTCGAAATTAGACTTAATCTCAAAAAATTCCAACTAGTTATTCTTAACACTGGGACTGTTTTTTGAAACTGTTTCAATTTCGTTTCAATCACGACTGAAAGGGCTTCAAAATGATATATCACTCAACCCATTCCGATGATTAATTATGGAACCTGATTTTGCGTGGAAAATTTAAAAAAAAAGAAAAACTAAAACACACCCGAAACGAAAAAAAATCATCCAGACCTATATAAGAGTACTCACTACGTTCATTACTCTTATTAAAATTATCATATTTGGAAAAACTGGATCAATAGGCAAAACTATATTTCGCTTGGAAATCTGAAAAATAAATTCCATTTTCAAAATTAGAACTCGATCACGTTTTTTGGGACCTTTATAATTTGCTGTTCGATAGTGGAGTTTGCCTTCATTTTAACAAAAGAAATGCACTGAACTTAATAAGAAATCAAGTCAAACCGCGAAAAAATTTGATCGTGAACAAAACTTTTAAGACTTTTTCTTATAAAACATCACAACCTATATAAAAGGCTGAACTACGATCATCGAGCCTTGAAAATTTACTTTCCATCAGAGGTATTGATTGTATGTTATCCATCAGAGGTATTCCATCAGAGGATATTGATTGTATCCATCAGAGGTATTGAAATTTCAATTTAATTGAGCACGTAAACAGCTTTTGCACGTTTTTCTTCAACATTTCACAGAAAAGTTGTTTCCTGAGAAAAGTCAAGTACCCTATTACAAGACACTTTAACGAGCTTTAATCAGCAAAATCATTTCAAGTTAATTAGCATTTGATTTTTGGCAAGAAAAAAGTAAGCCACTTAAGATGTTGTCCGATGTGGGAGTTCGAAGTAATTTATCATAATGAGACCCTTCCTCCTTGATTTGTGCTGCAACAAAAAATAAGATCGACTAAAAACGGCCGGGGTATTTCGACAATAAAGAGTCAACGAACGCAATGAAACAGAAAAAAAAGCTGAATTTTTTTTGAAAAAATCTCAACTCAAAAAAATGCATTTAAAGCTCTTTGAATTTCTAGAACAATTTATGATAGTAACTTTCTCTGATAAAACTCAACCAATTTGAGAAAACTGGATCAATAAGTATTTTTTTGCTCGGAAATCTGAAAATGAAACTAAAGTTCGATCACATTTTATTGTCCTTCACATTTTTTTCTATTCGATAGTGGAGTTTGCCTTCCTTTTTATAGGAAATGAACTGAACTTAAAAAGATACCATCAAACGAACCGCAAAGAAAAAATTAAGCCTGAACAAATCATAGATTTTTTCTGACAAAAAAATAATCACGATCTATAGAAGAGTCTGAGCCTGAACTACGGTCATCGAATCTTAGACAATTATAAGCAAAAAAAATGGTACATTGAAGAGCTTTTTTCGCATGATGTGGCCTTAAGTTTTTCTGCGGAAAAAAATTGTAAGAAAACAGAACTTCACTGCAAATCGAATCACTACCAAAACGGTTTGAAAATGAAGTACTATTGAAACCCGTCCGAACTTTTTTTGCAATATCTCATATTGCGTGAAAAAAAAAACCAAATCCAAAATTTCTCAGCATCTTCGCTGGTAGGGACAACAAACCCTATTTATTTTTTCTACCCCACCGCACCTGATTCTTCTGACAAGGGGACACTGTCTTCATTCACGAGAACCGGCGGTGTCGCCACTAAAGGAGGGAAGTCCAAATTCTTCGGCTTCACTTTCCTGAAGGAGCGCGTTGTGGTTGTAGTCAACATGTTATTACTACGAATCACTCCGTCTCTCTTTTTATCTAAATCACGAGATATTTATTACATTTTAATCAATGCAAAAGAGCGATCACTACACCAGCTTCTTCGAATAATGCAATTAAAATGAGGGTTCTAATATTTCGGTCTGATGAATAATTACCATAGAGACGTGTTTCCGATATTTGATCAAACAATTGCACAGTTCAATATTTTGCAGAAAAAATAACTTACTTAGAAGTTCTTTGAACGACTTCGGAGGTACTTTTAATCCGGATGTCGAAGGCTTCTCCACTTTGTACAAATGCGACAGACCATCAATTAAACCATTGATCCCCGTCTTCCTTTTCATTGCTGTCAGCGTATTTCTTTGTGTTTTAACATTATTCTGATTGTTTATTGCATTCTTAACATATTTTTTCTTCAGGTTATTTGATGTCCACTGCGAGCCCCAACGTTTCTGCATCGACAGAAAACTTTTTTCGGTTTTTAAAGTTGTACGTCTGCTACCTGCAGTAGGCACGAAAAACGAAGTCAAACCATCCACTAACTCTTTCGGCTTACTCGGTTTTAGATCTTCTGAGCTTCTAATTTTTTTCAGCAAGGAGCCTGATTTAGGGAGCGAAATCTGATCAACTGAAGGATGAGAAGAATTTGAATCTTCTGAATGACTCGAAAACGATTCTGGGCTACTCGATTTCATTGCTGGATTTGAATATTGCGACATCAGTCGGTTAGTTGTCGATGGACTGACTTGACATCGAACTGCTATATTCTGTTGCTGTCGCAAATAGTTGAGGTTCAAGTACAGACCGCGTTTTATATGATCATCGCATTTTTCGCACATCCAGTTTAACAATTTCTTACGATCTTTTGGATTTGGATTCGATTTAGATGACAGACAACGAGTGTGGTAGAGTAAATCGCAATTACTGCACGCTACGTGAGTAGTTGCACTAGCTGTTGAAGTTCTAGCGACTGTTTGTTGTGGATTGTAATAAGACGGCATTCCACATGAAGCACATGTTTTGCAGTCCCAACATGTCCAAGAGAAGCTATCGGTTTTGACGAGAACTTCTATCAACTCAGGGGAGTAATGGAGACAGATAACGTGGACTAAAGCAAAACCCGGAAACTTTGAGATTTTGAAAACTTATATCAAACTAAACTTTTTTGTTTCTTATTCATACCTGAACATTCGCACTGAGTGCATTTGATGAAATTTTTTAAACTACCAGACTTCTGGCAAATTGTACACAGATGAAGCTTCCTTGGCTGTAAAAAAAAAAACAGTTTAAATTCATCCCTTATTAAATTAGTTCAAAATCCGAGGAAAAGCTTGACATACTGCAACATCTGGAATATTCTGTGACAACGTAGTCTTTCTCTTTTCCTTTTGGACTTTTAAGGGAGGCGCATAATCGTATGAGAAACTCGTTAGCTTGTATCTATTTCCACGCTTCTCCAGTGCGCCTGAAAATTTCAACCACCAATTAAAATAAATCGAATAATTTCTGACGACAAAATAAATTGACGAAATCCAATGAAATACTCAGACAGTCAATGAACATCCAACTTCAGAAATTCATCCTGTAAAAATTCCGAAACTGTGAAAATAAATGAAACGATTAACACCAACCTTCTTCGTGTGCTGTTTTCAAAGCTCTTCTCAAGCTGTTCCGAACATCGATGCTGGAATTTCCACCAGGTTGACATCCAGGCAACCTGATAACGCATTTCGACAGAATGAAATCTTCGATAAATTTCGATGTCGCCCAATCGGAATGCTGGCCTGATGAGTCTTCTAATGCCCGGATAATGGCACTCCAAACATCGTTGCTATCGTATATCTAGGCAAAACGTCAAATTTTGACATGAAAACTTGATAATTATATTCATTCACGAAATTTAAAATTCACCGTCAGCAAGGCGACTTTCTTCCTATTTGCCATTTTCAGAGTTGCTTCATTTAGGGCAATCAAAAACTTTCAATATTAGCAACATGACATCTGAAAAGTGAAGTGTACAAATGTTCTATGAGGAGATGATTATTGTAAAGGCAAAAAACGTTCAAAAAAACGATCAATCCTCAACAAAATTTCAGAAAAATAACAAAAAGTTGGTTGACTGAACTATAAAATTTAAATAATACGTATTAAGTTAATTAAATTGCCTTAAGTTACTGAGAACACGCTCAGAGAATTATATAGAACCAAACTTTTCGCTATTTTGTTTTCATGGGGTAACCAGAAGCTCAAAAGTATCATAGCGAATGCAACAACTGCAGACCTGAAGAAACTTACACTTATAACTGAAAACTAAACTTTGAACAATGCAATGACTGGGTTTTATGCGAACCCTTGGATTATATTCCTAAATCCTTTATTATTATTATTATTATTATTATTATTATTATTATGATTATAGCAACCGCGGTTACAGTCAGGAGTCCCTTCATCACATATTGCAGTCGAAATCCTTGGAATTTTCTAGATAAGGAAGTGATAATGATAAAAGAAGATGACAAGTGTTGGTGTCCTTACAATTAGACTAGATAAGTGTTACGTTTCTTCAATAAGAACACGCAACTCGACACGAGAAAATATAATGTACAATTATAATTTTGTTACACATAAAAAATTTCGTCGATAGTTATTTTGTCATAAGTTGTTCCGAGTACGCAAGCGTCGTCCGCAATCTGTTCTCTGTTTTAAGGAGCTGCCTGCTCTGAGTTCCTCTCTGTTTTAAAGAGCTGCCTGCTCTGAGTTCCTCAGTGGATATGCTTAAGTTCTTACAAAGCTTGCTCAAAAAATTTCTGTGCTTGGGCCGGCCGCGCGCTGAATCTCAAAAGCTAGCGGTTGAAAAAGATACCCATCATCTACTAAGTCTTTATCAGAAAATGTCAAGGAAATCTGCCCTGAACGTCAGAAAAAGGTGACTAAAGGGGTAGAATGAACTTGTTTGAATTGGTACCACTAAGGGTGTTGTAACATATCGGAATCCGAATACGCAGACATCGCTGAAACAGTATGGTATTGCATGATTTGCAGAAAACAACAGGAAGCAGATCGGACTGAGAATGGTGTTTAAATTTTTCTAAGATATCTTGACGACATAGTTAGAATGGTCAAGGCCAATCCTAGCGTAGTTCTCGAGGCTACCAATAAGTTGCATCCAAACTTGCAATTCACCATAGAAGAACTTGATAGTAACGGTAATTTGGCCTTTTTGGACTTAAATGTCAACGTGGATTCAGCAAAAAAGGTCACATGTAGTTGGTACCAAAAACGCACTGATACCGTCACCATTCTAAATTCCAGAGTCTGCGCACCTTTGCAGTACAAAAGAAACGTTAATGAAGGGACGGTTCATAGAACTTTCAGAAGTACCTCAACATGGGAAGATTTTGACCAGGCAATGGAAAAAAATCGGAAACAATGGATTGAAAATCATTATCCGAAAAATTAGTCTGACAGGATAGTGTTTGAAACTCTTAACAAGATCATTGAGGGAAAGAAAAATTTAGAGGTGAAGGCATCAGAACCGAGAAATGATAAATGGTTAGAAGACTAACCACCCCTCCTTACAATGCAATATCGAGGCAATCCATCTCGACTTTTAGCTGCAAAGGTTCGGCAATTATCCGGGCACAAATAATTTTTACGACCAGAAAATTGAAAACATGCTTGTCAACCCTCGAAACTTCTTTTGCTCGTGAACTGAGACCCACCTATGTCGGCCAGAAAGTCCGACATTTAGCCACGAGAGCCGATGAACACCATAAAGGTGACACCCCAGTAGGACAACACTTGTTAGAATGTAATAAGTAGCTTGGTGATACTGCTTAGCTGAAGTCAGAGACTATAGACCAAACAGCCAACACTCATAAGCTACTCACACTAGAGGCTTTGCATACTTGGAGGGAGAGGCCGAGAATCAACACACGCGATGAATTCAGGAGCCGGAAATTGACACTAAAATTAAAGTCTATGTATAATATGGCTAAATTTTAAAAAACTGACATGTCAGAATCAAAATTATTCCCAAATCGAAACTTTATAACCATGAAAGAACAAAAAAAAACTCAGAAATTTACAGGAAAATGTTATAATAATTATTTAATTTTATTATGTACTTACAGTTGTTTAAATTTGACTGGTCATAACCTTTTGAAGCATTTGTAGACATATTTCTCATTTTTCAGATCTTTGATCTTTTTGTAAATATATTGTGAAAAATTTAATCCTGATGATGCACAAAATGTGCGAAAACATTTGAAATAACATTTGAAGGCTTAACTGCCAAATCGAACAACATCGGAGGGGTGAATTTGGATCGAAGTGCGCTCTGTATTTAGACAACCGCGTAATCAAACTTGTCAATAAGCAGACAAATACTGTATCAGCAATCAGTGTAACAGTCGCCTACTTCGGTCACATAGGAGGTTTAAGAAAAATAGGCCCTATAACCATTGGCTCAAGAGTCAGGGACACTATCTCTTGTGTTTTTCTACCTCAAAAACGGTCGGAGCCAATTCGGTTCGCTTGCGACATGAGACTAGAACCCGTTACAGCATAAAGGCCACTACCAAAATACCCCCCACTCTAGAAAATAAGAACGTCCCCATACTTAGGTCTCAAAATACCCAAAACACACGAACGCCGTTAAAAACAGGGTCGGAACAATCCGTTAAGTTACTTTTTATTGGACAGTGGAACATTGATCCATTTCAGATGGATCAACCTGAAACTCGCCTTACCTCAACATACTTATTATAAAATGCACTCGGGAAAACTAAATTTGGTACTTACATAGCAGCACACTTGAGAAACAGAGCAATTAAGCTAATTAATAACTCTAGCATAAATATAATCGAATATAACACAAGAATCTGCTCTTGTGTTTGTTTGGTCTCCTATATCAGATAGGACAACTCTACTCTCGTTTTCTACTACGACGGAAAGTGCGAATAGCAATTTCCCACTGTGTTTATTTGACAACTTTCCCGCCTTTTTAACTCGGTTGTTCTGACTTTAGATTTGATGTTTTCAGTTGTCGCGAGAAAACTGAGCATGACAGGCTCCATTCGAATTTTTGAAAAATTAAACTTCATTCCAAAACCACATATTTAGTGTTCCTCAAAATCAAACTTCCAGATATGACCGACTGGCACACAGAAGGGAGCAAGTTTACGAAGTAAATAACTGTTAATTTTTAATTTTTTCCTTGTCTCGATTCTGATCGGCTAATACAGTATTTGTCTGCTTACTGACGAATCTGAATACGCGATTGTCTAAATATTGCTACGTAATCATTTGACAGAATTAATCTCAAATTTTTGAATTGGGCGAGCATGACTTCTGACAATTTATAGTTTTGCAGAAACTGAAACCGCGACAAACAAACGCTAATACAATGTATTTGAAGAAGAGCGCTCCGAGATATGGCGATTGTGCAGCTACAACCGTTATAGAGTAATTACCGAGAACCAGGAGGGCTAACTGGGAGAATTTGCTACCCTTCCTCATCGGAAGAAGACGCTTCCTCACGCGGATTCAGGAAGTCGGAAGAGCAACTTCAAATTAATTTTAAACAACTTTAAGCTTTCTGGAAAGGCCTGAATTGAAATTAAATTATCATCAGATTCAATTTCAGAAAATCAGAAACTTGGAGATGCGGGAAAGGGTTGATCCATCTCAGATGGATATGGTGTTTTTATCTTTTGATTAAAAGTATCAGCCTAATTGTTGTAATATTAAATAGTTCGTTTTCAAATAAATTATGAATCCAAAAAAGATGCTCAAATTGTTCTCAAAACAGCAACAAGAAGCGTGCACAGTCTGCAGGGTAGAAGCGGTTGATGTGCAAGACCTGCGAAAAGTGTACCCAAAGCCATTGCATTGGGGACTCATCGACAGAGTTTGAATTCCTGGACAGAGCCTCCAATCTGAAATTCATGTGCAATGGATGCTCAATTTCTGGTTTGAAACTATGTGGTGGGAAAGGTAACGAGGACATCTTTCGTGGATTTGAAGAATTGAAGGACACCCTGGGAAAGTCCAAGTCTGTCGTGCAGTCGCTAAATTCATTGACCACTGCTCCCGAGGCGGAGGACTCTGACGTGTTGCAATCAGGAAATGAAAATGCTCCTGAACTTCGTTTCAGCGGTATACCTAAGTACAAAAGTTCAAGTACAAATGAGAAAATAGATCGAGCAATAATTTTTGAACACGAGGAATAAGCTTTATGCGAGTGTATAGTTTCATTGGGCGTCCACCCATATCAAACTTCATCAATTGTTAGACTCGGAAAATTCGATGCAGATCGTAAGAAAACAAGGAAATTATTTGTCAAGTTTTGAAATGTGTATACAGTTGATAAAATACAAGCTCGCGCGCATATGATCAAGACATATGAACCTATTTATTCGGTGAAAAAATTTGCAGTTTCGTTTCAAAATTGCCAGATAAAGAAGAACGAGAAAAGGAACAACGATTACTGAAAAACAGACGAGAATTATTCGATCAAGTAGATGACGCCAAAACTGTTAAAACCAACAAAGGTGTTTTATACTTCAACAACAAAGCGGTTATAACAAACGACTGAGACTGACTATCAGAAAATTCAAGGCACGTAAAGAAATTTTTTTATAACATCAGAAGCATTTATAAACTGAAACGCTGGCAAACTTTTTCAAATTTTTTGGTGTTTATTTCTGCAGATATTGTTTGCTTACCGGAAACATGGCTAACTGAAGAAATATCCGATGAAAATCTATTTTTAGTTGAATAAAACTGCTACCAATCGGATCGTAAATCAAAAATCGGTCAAACATCACATTGCTGAACTAAGATATGCGTTAATTCAAATTTTTGGCAGAAATGCAAACATGAGGTTCACACAAATTATTCAGCGTGCTTTTTGATTTTGTTACTTGATTTGATCTTTGTTAGCGAGAAAAAATTGAGTATCGAGACAATTTTGCAAAATTGTCAAATCATTTTCCTTTAAAAATGTATTTCAATATTGAGTCGTCATGCCTGAATAAATGTGATTATGTCAAGCAGTACACACTAAGCTACTGCAAAGGACAATACAAATTATTGAATCAGTTATTTTTTGAAAAGCCGTTTCACACTTATTACCGGTCAAGTCCAAATGTCGCTGTTGAACATTGGTACAAATAATTGAGTGAAACTCTTGCGAAAACTATACCCAAAAGAACGGAACCAACTAGAGCATCTTTACCAACCTGGTTTAGTCAATCAACATCACATATGATAAAATGTTTGAACACGGCTCGGATAAAAATTGTTGAGCCTCACAATAAAGTTAAAACTTAAAATTAACAACAGAAGAGCTTGTTGAATGAGATAAAAAAAATTTGAGCAAACATTAGCAGCGGTAAAGTCTCCGGAAAACTTTTTAAATTTTTCAGGGAATTTCGGAAATAAAATTTACCGATAATAATGCAAATAAACAAAAATTAGACAAATCAAAAGAGGCGTTTGATTTTTTTTCTCCGTGGATGTCAACTCTTCTACTTTTTTACACACTAAGCTACTGCAAAGGAGAATACAAATTATAGAATCAGTTAATTTTTGAAAAGCCGTTTCACACTTATTACCGGTCAAGTCCAAATGTCGCTGTTGAACATTGGTACAAATAATTGAGTAAAACTCTTGCAAAAACTATACCCAAAAGAACGAAACCAACTAGAGCATCTTTACCAACTTGGACTAGTCAATCAACATCACATATGATAAAATGTTTGAACAGGGCTCGGACAAAAATTGATGAGTCTCACAATAAAGTTAAAACTTAAAATTAACAACAGAAGAGCTTGGTGAAAGAGATAAAAAAAAATTGAGCAAACATAAGCAGCGGAAAGGTCTCCGGAAAACTTATCAAACTTTTCAGTGCTTTTCGGAAATCAAATTTACCGATCATAATGCATATAAACAAGAAGTAGCGGACAGTGACAAATCAAAATAGGCGTTTGATTTTTTTCTCCGTGTATGTCAAATCTTCTACTTTTTTACCGAGGAAAATAATCCATTGGACAAAACACCATATTAGACAGTGTAGTTTGTTCTGAACAAAATTTTTCTATAAAATGTGCTTCCTCGAACGTAGATGAAAGCAAGGGCAATGACGACTTGCCTCCTTTTTTGTCTGTGAAATCTTTCTGAAAACTTTTCAAACGCGTATTTTCAATAAACACTAGAAAGTAAAACCTTTCTATCATCTTCTTTTTTCATCTCCTTTTTTCATCTTCTATTTTAAACCTTTCATCAGCCCACTTTAAAAAAAAGATAAAAAAAGAAATATCGAAACTTACCAAGCAGCTTCATTGCTTTCAGTTATGTTGAAAAATTGAGAAAGAATAATTTTTAAAAGGATGTACAAACAATTTCAAAACACCAACAACGTATCCTAGCACAAAATTCGTTAAAAAAGTTATATATATATATATATATATATATATATATATATATATATATATATATATATATATATATTCAAATGTTGTAAAAGGCATAGAAAACGGAAACAAAATTGATACTTTTTTTAGACTTCAGTAAAGCTTTCGATCGTGTTGTTCACGGAATTTCGTTACGCAAACTTCAAGGAATTCGACAGAACAATTTGAATTTGATCGAATACTACCTGACTTAAAGGTCTCAACTCGTTCGAGTAACTAAAAAGAGTTCAAAATCTGAAATAGACACGAGTGGTGTACCACATGGCAGTATTTTGGGACCATTGTTTTTCGTGGTGTTCATTAATGACCTTCCAAATCGCTGCAAAACATTTATTCCCTTGTTTTTTGCCGAAGATGCAATTTTTGTAAGCCTAAATGCGGGATGGCAAAACTTTCAAAATGATATTGACAGTATGAGTGAATGGACTTTGGAAAAAAACATGCCTTTTAACGTAGATAAATTTACCTATTCGAGTTTTGGGAGAAAGTACTGCTCCATAAAACCTTAAAAGGCGGTCGGAACATTCAGGGCTTCGCCCTGATACGAGCAGTCTTGTTCAATTTCTCATTAAACAAATTTGACATATTCGATGAAACTGATTCAATTCAATGTGCAACTTTCATGTTCAACTGTGCAATTTTCATGCTAATGTATATGGTAAAAGCGCAATTGTTTTTGAGTAATTCGATGATGTAACATGTAACATGACCTTGTGGATTCATATGACGAGGCCAATTTGCAACGAGGCTTATTTTGAACTTATGTTTTAATACCAAACAACTTTCATTTTCATTTTTGTTCCGACTTTCGGTTTGAAAGTAACGGAATATTTGTGCTCGGGGTGGGTTTTTTTTTTCATTCAGACAAATTTCGACTTTTTAACTAGCCATTTTTGACGGAATTTTTTTATATCATTCAAAAGCTATTGTTGTCCTTAGCTTAAATTTGAAAAGATATTTCACCTGTGACCATTTTTCGTAAAGTTATGAGGGTTTAAAGATTGCCATTTTGGCCATTTTGACCAATTTGGGACAATTAACGCGCGATATAATTCGCGCTATTAACGCGTAAGCCGAGATTTAATCCTTCTTATAAATCGTTCCAAATTGGTTGAACGAAGCTTATTTGCCATAATTGATTTCTTACAAGGAACAAAATCTATCTTTTTGTACTTTAAATGGCGTGTGTAGGATAATTTTCATAAAAAATTTCAAATTTTAGAAAAAAAAGTTTTCATTTTATTTTATTTCATTTAATTTTTTTATGTTATTACTGCTGCTCCATAAACCTTAAAAAGCAGTCGGAACATTCAGGGCTTCGCCCTGATACGAGCAGTCTTGTTAAGGTTTTTAAATCTATAGTTCTAGAGATAACAGATAATTTAACAGGACCTTTTTGAAACAAACGACAATTTATAAAGCAAATTTTTTAACGTCGAACAACTTTCATGTTCAATCTAAGGGTCAGGGAACAATAGTTCGTAAGATAGCAGATGATCTAACATTACCTTGATGGGTCATATTACATTCGTTGGGTCCAAATTTGAACAACGCTTACAGCTTTTTCCGCGCCTGGTAATCCATTCCCTGTGATAACCGCTCGTGAACTTTTACTACTCCGAAATTTTTTGCCGTTTGTTTTATCCGATCAATTGATTTTTTACTGCAATAGTTGGTCCAGTATTTTAGTGGTACAATGATCAAAAGTGGTACAATGATCATGAGTCATGTTGACTGGGTGAAAGGAGCGATCTCAATGTGTCACAAATGCTTGTGATATTTAGGAATAGCTAACTAAAACTGCAAATTAGTTTTTGTTGATTTTAAAAAATGTCCTTGTTGTAAAACACCAGGAAAAACGCAAAAATAAAAAAAAGATTATTTTTAGCTTATACAACAACTTTTAAAACAAAATTGTTTAAATGCTAATTTTTTTGATTTGTTAGTAGTTTTGTGGTATAAAATTTATTGCCTTAGATTCGAACTTCTCGTTTAGGTAACTCAATGTGTTTGCATAATGAACCTGTGCAACATATAGATGCCCCCTTCTGTGGGGACTACATTGTCAACACAGAGGAGGGGGAGGAGTGTGACTGCGGGGGAGTGGACACCTGCGATGACCCCTGCTGTCACCCCAACACCTGTACCCTTGTAGCAGGTAGTAAAGTGAAGGTCGATGGTTAAAATCAATGCTCAAGCTGAAAAGAATTGTTGATTCAATCTAACTCAGAACAATATTTATATTTTTTCACTTTCCAACATAACAACATTTTTTACTTTCCACATATACAACGAAGGTTCCAATATTATTTTCGCTAGCGTTGCTATTTTTCTCAAATTTCGCTCGAAGCGATTTTTTTGAATTATGTTTAAAAAATTCGATATTTGCAGGAAAAGTAGTTTTTACATTAAGGATATTTTTCCTATTTTCTTTGAAATGACTCTCCGAAGAAAGAAAAGCCAAGTTTTGATCAAAAATTTTGTTGAGATAGTTAAAGCAAACTCTTATATCTTATGTTAACAGATTTTGCACAATTCTATTGCAAGTAGAAAAAAATATAGATCTTCAAAAGTATGTTTTTTTTGGATTTTTTGTTTGTAAAAATAGTAAAACAATGTCATAAGTAGATACAAAACACTCCGATTTTATTCAGCTTTTTTCGGGGCAGCTCATTTGAAGCAAGAGGTAACATTGTTTAATTTTTACAAATGTCAAACAAAAGTTTTGCCCCAAAAATTTTTAGTTTAAATAAGGGTGTGTCGAGGTACAAATGCTGATAAAAATTTGTCAAATATTTAACTCAAAATGTCCGACTAAACTGACATGTGAATTCTATAAATATTTTCTCTCAATGTTTGAGGGAGAGTTTCATCATCAAAGTATTTGAAAACGACTTTCTGCTTTTTAAAACGGGATGATTATCGCATATCGCTGGTTGACTGGTAAAAAATATGTCTCTGCGGCTTACAGCGATGATGCGAACCCCGAATAATTCATGAAACTGTGAAATTTTTGCAAAATAAAAGCTCATTCAACAGTTTAAAAAGTTTTGTTAACAGCTGTTACCAAATTGCAAAGCATGCGCTGTTTTTTGTTAAGGTTTCAATTATTTCGTAATTTATTTTGGCGAAAATACCATTTAAAAAACAAAATGCAAAGTGTTAAAAACCTCGAACAGATGATGTGAGGTGGAGAATTAATATGATACACAAAGGGTTTCTAGATGTTTCTTGAGAAGGCAGGATAAACTTTGATCGTTTCAATACTAAAATGGTTTTCTGAAAAATTCAGCGCTGCAAGCGAGTTCTCAAACTTTAATTAATAAAAGGCACAAAATTTGGCAAAAATTTATAAAAACTAATTGAGCTCCATTTTTTTCCATTATTTCATATCTATCATCATTCTCTCTGCTGTTCCAGACAAATTTATTTCATGCTCTCAAACCATTTACAAATTGATTCAAATTTTTGAAATGAAATGCCCATTTAAGAGTTGGTTTATTTTTTTGGCAAGAGTGATTACACATTTGCGATACATAAACTTATTTTTTGTCCAGGTTTCTAATTTGCCTTGCATCGCTTCAAAAATTGAAAAAATGCTCGCAAGAGCAGATCAAATGTTTTTGAGGTGGCTGATGCTCAAAAACATGAAAAGATTAATGAAACCTCCTCATCGCAGTCACATATTAACGATAGTTCATTGTAATTAGCTACATTTCAGTCGAAGCTAGCTTCCAAGTAAAAACATGCCGAGATAAGATCGAACCAAAAGCCGATGCAAGTCGAGACATGGTCTTAATGCTTTTTAATCAAGATTACTTACTGGAGTTACACGTCATAGCGTTAACAAATACCAATTTTAGGACCATTAGAGAGAACATTTCTGATTGACCAACATCATAACACTTACAAGCCAGTTCTCGATTTTTGGCATCCAAACATGCTGTAAACTAGAAAATGTAAAAATGGTGGATAAATGACAAGTTTTTGTTACCAGAACTGACGAAGTTAATTCGATTGTGAAATTAGCCACAGCGCTATGCCAGATTCAACAATCAGCGAGCAACAAAAACTGTTTTCTAACTTCTGACAATATCAAAAGCATGCAATTAAAGACAGGACTGATAAAATTGTTGCGTTTAATAACTTAGCGATTGAAAAATCACTTGGCTACATGTTTCGGCAAAATTACCATGATTCATGCTACCTTGAACTATGATTTTTGTCTTTAAAATGCTTGTAAAAAGTTTCATCGCTCTTATTCAATGAAAATGTCTGTCCCAAATGTTTGTAATCTACTAGAGCTATCCAGGTGCATCATGTTCGGCCATGGATCTCTGCTGCAACCCTGGAACCTGTCAAGTTCGCAGTGCTGGATACGTCTGTCGAGAAGAGAGCAACGAATGTGACGTAACTGAAGTGTGCACTGGAACCAGCGCCGAGTGTCCGAATGACGACTACAACAGAGCAGGCATGGAATGTACTGCAGATGGAGCATCGGGACACTGCTACGCGGGAAGCTGTCGATCGGTTTACTCTCAATGTCTACAGTAAGACTAATGAAAACGGGTGATTTTCCCTCCACGTCACACAAAGAATAACAGTTATAGTTTAGCGTTAATTATAAATATCAACCCGCACTGGAGTTTCATAGACATTTTATTTAATTGTTCGTTACCATTTGCCCACTACCCCCGTCCCATCCTATAAGTAAGGAGGGTTCAAGGGTTGAACGGATGGGGGTATTTAATGGTTGAAGGAGGGGATAATTGAACCTGACCCACCCTCCCTCAGCTCCTCCCTAATGGTTGAAGGTGGGAATGATTGAACGAAAGGTGACTAGACCCCCCCCCACCAGTCCCCCTCCGCATTTTGCTCCCCCCTCAGTTTATCCCACCTCCTCTTCCATTTTCCCAACCCCTATGGCCCGAAAAATGGTCTGGTTTGGTGCTATCCTTTCGTTTTTCTTCATGTTTTTGAGGAAAAAATTGATTTTTATGGATTAATGCTGAGATAAAAAATCTATTATAATGGAAGAGAAATCGATTGTAATGGATTATTTTTAATGAAACTTTTTAATTATAATCTATTATAAAAACGGTTAAGTTTTAAAACGGGGATCTGAAATCGACTATACTGTTCAAAATTTTTTTCATTAAAAATCCATTATAATTGATTATTATCCGTGAAACTCCAGTGCGGTAAATGTTATGTGCGGCCGTTGAATAGACAACAGTGTCAATAGACATGTCAGTAAGCAGAAAAAAATTTCAGTTTCTATATCTAAGGCAATCGATTTCTGCAAAATCAAAAAAACCACCCATTAGTCTCTAGACATTTCCAAAAAACTTTGTTAAGCATAATGTTATCTCAATTCTCAAGTGAATTTGAAAACTTTTGAATTGATATTTCTGATTGGGTGTAAAAGGATATCAAATGCGAAATGATATTCTTTCCGCCCAATCTGAAATATCAATTAAAAAATCAATTTTGGAGATTTGAGATAATATTATGCAAAACAAAGTTTTTTGGAAATTAAGTAGTGATTATAAGTAGTAAGGTTGGCTCAATTTAGTAGCGTTTAAAATTTGTAGCATATTAGACAAAATCATACAAATAAATTTTGAGCCACAAGGTGTTAACCAATCGTTTTCACAATCCAGAGCAGGGGCGGATCTAGGATTTTCTCGAGGGGGGGGGGGGCGGATTTTCGAAAAATTTTCCAAAATTTTGACGACCTTTTTTTTTTTTTAGGTCGACCAAATTGATTTTTCGAGCTCTCCCAAAGCACTGTTTTTGCCCCTATTTTGAAAAAACAGTCAAAAAAGCCGTTTTGGGCACTTTTTGAAAAATTTTGGCAAAAAAATTGCGTTTTTTTGGCGCGCGCTTCCCCTCAAAGTTAGTATATATTGGCGCCGAAGGCGCCTTTAGAAAAATTTTAGGGTCGGTCCGCCAAAAATGGATTTCTGAAAAAGTATCAAAGGGGGTACCCTTTGGGTCGGCAGGGGGTCGAATCCCTGAGGGGGGAGGCGTCCGCTCCCCCCGCCCCCCCCCCCCTAAATCCGCCCCTGATCCAGAGAAACCTTGCCAGTTTCATGATGAGTTTAGACTAAACTTCTCTCTGTATATCATGAGGTTTTACTGCGTGTTAGTATATATAGATTCGTTTGTTCCCCCGGCTCTTTAAACGGCTTACTCAACTTTGTTGACTTTTTGCAAAGTGAAAATGTTTCATCGTGCTTAAGTTTATGGTCGGAAAAAAATTCAACGAGATCTGTCGCAGTTACGGAGAAAAAGAACAAAAAATGGGGTCCTGCAACTTTTTCATTTGAATTGACAGTTAGAAATCTTCTGTTTCACTCTCATTTCAAGTCCCATAATCAATATTACTAATTTTCTGAAGCAATAAAATCAGCTAAATGTTTTTTCATCAGTGCATCGTTTTAAACTCATTAAAATTTCTGATTTTATTGAGTACTTTTATAGGTCGTGGTGATATTTTTTCATGAAAAAAAATCTTTAAATTTGGTTCACACTCAGTTTTGTTTTTTCGCGGTTTGCATTTTGAGTTTTTTCAAATTCTTTTCATTTCCTTTGTTGAAAGGAAGGCAAACTCCACTATCAATCAGCAAAAGTGAAAAGGTAACAAAAAACGTGATCGAGTTCTAATTTGATTGCCAGATTTCAATGCTAAAATATTTTATTAATTGTTCCTGTTTTCTCGAATTGAGTTAACTCTACCAAAAAAGCACCAATCAAAAATTGTTCGTGAAACTCAAAAATATTTAGGGATATATATATATATATATATATATATTTTTTTTTTCTTTTTAATATTCGAAAGTTGAACTTTTTTCAAAGAACTAGTCTTTATTTCTACTTCTCTACGTTAGTTTTCTTCCAATTGTCGGGTATGTTAAAAAAGTATGCAAAAAATTCATTTTCAAAAGATCAAGGCTTCGTTGACAATTTTCTATCGATTGAGGCTGAATTGAAGCTGAATTTTTAATGAATGAACAAAAAATAATGGGATGATTTAATAGAAACTCTACAAAATAAGTTTGAAAAAAATACAATTAAAATTTTAGATGACTTGTGTGAACTGGTTGAATTTAGGATTTATACGGTTTTAAGTCAAACACTTGTGATAGACAGGGGCTAAACAATAGAAGTTAATATTTTGCAGTTTATTTCCAGTATCCGTTTACGAAACAGGCGCATGCGCATCTTTTGTGACACTATTGAAATATTTTCAATTTCAATGAAGGCTATTCGAATTCAACGTTGAAAAACTCCTGCAGAACTGAAAAGGAACTAGTTTTTGATATTTACGTTTTAAGCCAACTTCTGTCAAAAAAGCCCATTTTATCGTGTACACTTTCATGGTCCGAAACATTTTCAGTGTGATCTATCACAATTAAGGAGAAAAAAATGCAAAAAATGGGGCAATACATTTTCTTCTTTGTCGCTGCATTTCATTTGAATTGAAAGTTAGAAATTTTCCGTTTTACTCTCATTTCAAGTCCCAAAATCATTGTTACTAATTCTCTGAAGCAAAAAATTAGATAAATTTTTTTGAAAACTGAATCGTTTTCATGAGTGCATCTTTCTGAACTCATTAGGTGTATCAAACTTATTGACTACTCTTATATAGGTAGTGGTGGTTTTTCTTCAGGAAAAAATCTTAAAGTTTGATCACGCTCAGTTTTGGCTTTTCAAGATTCGAGTTTTGATTTTGTTTACTTCATTTCCTTTGTTAATAGAAGGCAAAATGCACTACCAATCAACAAAAGTGCAAAGGTTCCAAAAAAATGAGAATTTTAATTAAAAAAAATGAGACTTTTATTTTAATTAGCATATTTCCTTTGATCCTGTTCTCTCAAATTGGGTTAATTTTATCAAAAAAGCACCAAACAAATTGTTCGTGAAAATGAAAAATTTTTAGGGGCAATGATGTTTTTTAAATAAAAGTCAAAAGGTGAAGTTTTTTTCAAAAACAAGTCAGGTTTTTTTTCTGTTTTTCTGCGTTCATTTTTTTCTAACTGTCAGCTGGCTATGTTTAATTTAAAATTCATTACAAAAATATCCATTATCAAAAGATCAAAGCTAGATTGACAAATTTTTATTGACTGAAGCTGAATTTTTACTTAATGAATAAAAAACCGTTTGATGATTTAATATAAACTCTCCAAAAAAAGTTCAAAAAATTACAGTTAAATTTTTAGGTGACTTGTGTGAAATGGTTGAATTTAGGATTTATACTGTTTCAAGTCAAATGGTTGTAATAGAAAGGGCTAAACATTAGAAATTAAGTTTTTTTTGCAGTTCAATTTCAGCATCCGTTTAGGAAGCGGGCGCATGCGCATCTTTTGTGGCACTATTGAATGGTTTTCACTTTCAATGAAGGCTATTCAAAGCCCAACGCTATAAAGTCTTTTAAATTGCTGAAACTGAGACGTTTCTGTTTACCAAGGGGCAAACATTTTTGACCGTATTTTGTTGTTGAGTTATGAAACCAAGCTTATAACGGTGTACCATGATCAATGACCAAATTCTAAAAAAAGGAAATTTGAAAAGTTGAAACTGAACTTTTAATAAAAAACTGAAATTCGTAAGTTAATCTCTTCAATAAGAGTACCAAAAGTACCAAGAAAAGTTACAGCTAATTGTTTGTTCTTGTTTTTTTGCTACTTCACATCTGCTCATGATTTTATGCTTCAAGGAAAACTTGAACATAAAGTGGGGATAGGCTTCAAATGTATTATTTTTTTACCTATAAGTTGCCAATTCCGACAAAAACTCAAAAACCATTCGTTGGCATATTAGAGTAAGCGAGCTATATGTATCTTTTCTTTTTCTTTTCTTGTAGTTTTTAAAAAGCGAGATTAGAACTTTCTATTGAAATTAGGTTAATTTCATGTTTAATGCATTCCTAGTTTTTTTTCACCGACGTTTTGTATTCAATTTTACAATCTCAATATGACCTATGCATGTAAGAACAGTTTTGTTGAACTTACGGCACTGTAAATTAGGAAAACAAATCCGGAATCTTTGGCTCGTAAATACGAAATAGATCAAAAAACGTTTAACAATATGGGTTTTGTAACGGATTTTGAAATTGTTTTTTTTTTGCCTCAGACTTTACGACCCAACTGGCCTATATACTGACTCAGCTGAACGTGATTAATGTTGGAGTGTCAACACAAGAGGCGACGAATATGGAAACTGTGGTTCTAGTTTTCACGAGGATCTAACTGCGTGTAGCCAAGAAAACGAGAGGTATTTCGGATCTATTTAATAATTACACCTACCCCCTTTCAAGAACGGGGGGGGGGGGGCTGTTAAGTAGATTAAGACCAATCAGAAAGCAGCACAACTTGAATTATTAATAGAACACTCTAGAGGTCAATTTACTGCTTTTATTTATAGGAATGATAATTCATTACTAGATACCAAAGGGGGCAACTGTTAAGTAGATCCGGTAATTTATTATTCAATGCACCCCTCAACAATTTTTCATTCATAAAATTTGTTTCCCTGCTGAGAACAAGTCCAGCGCACAATTTTGATTGAATTCTAGCTAATTTCAGAGACAAGTCACAAATTAAGGACTCAATTTGAAGTTCCATCTCAGATCAAAATTTGGTTTGGGATTACTATTACAATTAAAAGCAAGTGCTACACGCGTAACGGAATTTTTTAAACAAATTTTGCGGAGGCCAGAGTCTCAAAACACCGGTATGCGCCAAAAATCTCGAGCAATCGACGTCATTTAAACTGCTGAAAATTCATGAAATGTCACTTTTTTTTCAGACAAGTATGAATAACGAATTTTTTTTTGATCCAAGATTTTTCTTTCGACTGCCTCAAACGACTAAAAGGCAGCAGAACGACTAAAATGGACTATTTAAGTGACAGATGAAAACAATTTATATAAAAAATTCGACCAAGAACAAAATTCTGTAATTATTCAGAGTTCGGAAAAGTTTGTCAGAGTTATGAAAAATTAGATGCAAAATATATCACCTGTCCCTATACTTCGACCTCGAACGATCATTTGAGTTGTGTTAATAAAAAAGACATTTTAAATTCAATCAGAAGCTCAGGCGTTGAACAGTAAATTTAAATAGCAATTTTTGATCACATGAAAATGCAATTGCAGGTGCGGCAAGCTCATGTGCGCGTTTGACAGTGGAGCTGAGCCCATTTCTTTATTCAATGTTTGGCGGTTCAGCGTGAGCTATAGCAGTTTCAGATGTTATACGATTGGATGGCTGTTTCCTTCTATGGATGTCGCTGATGATTGGGCTTATGTGCGCAATGGCATCTGGTGTGCTGAAGATAGTTTCTGTCACGACAGACAATGTACTCACATATCTGAAATACCCGCACTCACAACTTGTCCTTTGTAAGTTATAACAAACAATAGTATCGAAGGCTATGATTAAATGCAGCAAGACTGCTCGTATATCAGGGCGAAGCTCTGAAAGTTCTGACTGCACGTTACGGCCAAATTAAAAAGTTTTTTTTTTGTCCAAAAAATTCACTAACTACTATTCCAATTGTTTTTAAAAAAAAAACAGTTTCGACTTAATTTTCAGTACTGTAGCACTTACTGTGAAAATGTTGTCAGTATAATTTGTAAAAAGCTTGCATCAGTTAAAACAAAAGGAGCTCGGTTCAACAAAAAAAGAGTTTTTTGGTTCATTTTTCCCAATTTAAATACTAGCAAAGCAATCGAGATGTGCCCTTTTATCATTACTTATCTTATTACATTGGAGTTCTGAGCGCCAAAAATTTGAAATTTACCATCTAAAAATTTGTATCTCATACATGAGGAAAATTACATCCTACTGTAAAACATTGAAACTCGCATTCCATTTCATGATTCCTAGGTCGTGGTCTCGGAATGATATAGCTTGTTTACTACCCGGAGATGCGCACCCCCTTTCATCGCGGATGAATTGTCCCCATATACTACTCATCTGCGCTAAATTAAAATCTGTTATTAAAGTTCTTGAGACTCATGCCGTAAACGGCCCAAAGTTAATATTCCGATAACTTGAACTGTAATTTATGCGATTGAATCTGATTGGCTAAATTTAGCTTATCGAACTCAACGATATCAGGCATTTCAAAAAACATATTATGTTGTCAAACAATCAAGTTAAATTCAAGTCACTAGTTTCAAATCCCATCAAATTAATTTCAAATTATTTTCAAGTAAAAAATTAATAGTTCAACATCTTGAAATGAAACTATTTTGATTCTACTTGGATGGCTAAAATTAGCCAATCAAATTTCAGTAGCAACTCAATGTTTTGTTCCTAATTTTGAGTCGATTTATTAACAAGCCGAATCGGCTAAAATATAGAAGAAAAGTTTGGTAAAACTTTTTATAATTATTTCAAATTAGCTGCAGAATTTAACCATAGAAACACAGAAAATAGTTTCAGTGAAAAAACGACCACTTTTTCAACTGCACAAAATTCGTCCTGTTAGAAATCGGGAACAGAATAAAGTGATTGCAATTGTATTGAGTTAGGACCGAGTTGGTTAACTCATAGAGTAATTTCGGATAGGGTACACCGTCTGCTCGTCACGCTATCTTATTTTCGGCCGGATAGATTCGTGCAACTTCTTAGTCTAATACCGATCCTAATCTTACTCTTATACTATCTAGTCTCAGGTTGTTTAACTAGTCTCTGCTAGGCTCAATAGATCTAGGGTATACTGGTTTATTGCGGCTGCTGAAGTGCTCGGGAGAGTCCAACTAATTTCTAAGTTAAATTCAAATCTCTCTGGTGCTGAAATTACAAGTAACTTCAGCACTTACAAATAAGTGGGTTGTTAGTTAGATGGATCATGATTGGTTAATATTAAATACTTTACATTGGTAAAATATCTAAATTATCCAATCATAAAATGTAGTTTAGATCAGGTTCCACCCATCCGGGTTTTACAGAGTTTTTTAGAATAGTTCTTCTGCAATTCGAAGGATGGATGATGGACGTTGGTGTTTGGCGAACATCTTATTTCTTCTGATTCCTTTTTGTTAAAGAAGTTCCAGGAAGCTGGAGTTAGAGACATAAGACGTTGTGTCTTCTAGTGACAACGACTAAGTCTTCGCAACAAACTCAAATCTGATTTCAGAATGGTTGGCTATGTCAGGTTTTTCTGTTCTGCGTGGAGAACTTCTTTTGTGTCTGATCTAGTTTGGGAATGGCGTGGAGATTGTGCGTGGAGGGGATGCCTGGTTACTCGGATCTGTACGTATACTTGAACATCGAGGTGGTCATTGGTCTAGTTCAATGAAGTCCTTTTCTGCGAAGTCAAGTCGTACTCTAAATCCTTTGAGTTGTGATTGTGAGTGGCATATCGATTGTGGTTGGTCATTCTCTCTCGAGTGTAGTGGGGTCGTTTTGTCTTTAGATGTTCGTCCTTGGTGTTGTATTCTGATCTATGTATTGCATAATGTAATTTACATTTTATAAAACATTTATTAGTTTAATATTTTTTAATTATGATTTTAGTTAGTTGTTTTCACAAAAGCTTTTTGTTTTAGTTCGGTTATTTTGAAGAGTTACTCACACTTGAGTAGCTCTTATTAAAAATAGAGGTGTGGTCACAAAGCGTGGATGTAGCACGGTGGGTTAGGCCGGCTATAGAGCATGCTCAGGACGTCCTTCCTGGTGGGTTAGGCCAGGAGTGGGAGTATGATTTCATGCGGTTTTTGTGAGGGGTCCTGTTATGTGACAACGTTTTATGTTGGGTTTGTTGTGGTTTTTCTTATGTCTTGTTGGTTATGTCCTTTTTCCAAAAAGCAAATTGTTTGTGGTATGGGTTTGTCTTTCGACTTTTTTGTGTTTTATTATTTCTTTCTTAGACTTTATAATAGTCTTCAAAAGAATAAATTATCCAGTTTTAAACTGGGTTAATCCGGTTTGGGTACCGTTGGTTTCCTTTTCTTAGTCATGCTGTTATTCTATGATTTGTGGTATTTAGTAAGCTGCGTTGGTTAGTTTTGTTTAGTATATGATTCCTTTCCAACCGGGTTAAAGGAAAGTTTGAAACATGTTATTATATGTTAGAGTTGTTGATTGTGAAAACTTGAAACTGAAATTCATTATTTTAAACAATTCTTCGTGGGCGAGCTGTGCGAGTGTGGATAGAATTTCTGTGCGAATAAATGAGAATATCAAAAGGTTAGTACTGCATTTGCATTTTATTAATTTACTGCATAGAATTTGGAAATTTACTGCTAGTTATGGGGGAATTTTAAGTTACAAATTTTCATCATAATTAGATTTACTGCTTGTGGGGAAAATTTTAGAAATGAATTTATTGCATTGGTATTAAATTTATAAATTTATAAGTGTAAGAGATTAATAGAATTTTTGAAATCTGTTTGATGAATTTTGCGATTTTTATTTGTCTTTTGTGGTTTTTGTAGGTGATTGTCGGATGAAGGCTAAAAATCTAAAGAAAACATGAATAAAGTATGGTGAGTTTTTTAATATTTTAATTAGTTAGTAATATTCATTTAATTCATACTTACCTGTTAGTCGTCGGGGAAAAAACCGTGGGGGAAGATGTCGTGAATTAGTTCTGAAGTTGTTAGTAGTTTAGCTAAGATGCGGATGATATTTTTAGTTTGAAGCAGTGGCCAAAGTAATTGAAGTGCCTTAATAGTGGTTAGTTCTTCAGTGCCAACTGCAAACTCATAAGGTGTGTTTTGGATTAGATTATATAATTTGTGATTGAATTTAGTGTTGTGGATGAATTCTAAAATTGGGATTTCTATAGGTTGTACAAACTCGTGCGGGATAAGGAAGGGTCGGGATTCTTCTGCGTTGAAGGTCTTGGTGATGGGACAAAAGATATACATTTGGGTTATGGGATCATAACTTCGAAGAATACCATGGAGGTTAGTGTCTTTAATACAATATGTGAAATTTAGGAAAAATGGTGAAGTGTATTTGGAATTAATGAATTGAAAACGATGGTGTGGTTGTCTAGAGGGTGTGTGTAGGTCAAAGTGATTTTGGATGAAGCGATAATAACTATATGTGTGGGTTTGTTTAGTGCGCAACATAATATCGTGTGAGCAGTGTAAATCTCTTTCGTGTGGTGCAAGGAAATGAAAGGTTAGTGAAAATATTTGGAAGCGTTCTTTAAAACTTTCGTATGCTTGTGTGTCTGTTAGTGCTTCTGAAATAATGTGATCAAACTTTCGGTCGAAGATGTTTAGTGTGAATGTATATGGTGTCTTGATGAAAAATTTCTCGGTAATTTGTGGATTAGCGAAGCGATCGTCGTCTAAGAATTGATCTTGGTTAGCTCTGATGATGTTGTGATCATAGTATTCGAGTGTATATTCGTTAGCTCTAGGTGCAGTGTGTGTTTTTAGTGATTTTTTATATCCAACGTAAGTAAATTGTCTAGCGGTTAGTGGTGTAGTGAGTCGATATAGCATGTCCGTATTTCGCTCTATATCGATGTGAGTGTTAGATAAAGGTAAGCAAAGAGGGTTAGTAAAATGATAATATGAGGTCCAAGAGAGAGTGGGCATTAAAACGTATTCATCTACAAAGTTGCGTGTTTCGTTAGTGTCGTGGGGGGTGTTTAAGGTGTATTGTGGGAATGAGGGTAAGGTGATGGCTAAAAATTCTTTTGTGTTAGTATGCTTGGGGTGGTTGATGTATTCACGGGCTGTTCCTGGTTTTGCTGGGAAAGGATGGTTGGGGAACTTTCTTTTAAAAGTGCGGTAAGCTCTATTAGTGTTGAGTGAAGATTCAGATGATGTGGATGATGGTGCTAATGATTCAGTGTAATTTGAAGAGGGTGTAGGGGTAGGGGGGTTGGATGAATTTATAGTGGAGGAGATTTGGTTTATGGTTGGGGTATTAAGGTGGTAGGGTTGTTGTTGGAGGGTAATAAAATTATCTAGCTCTGGGGAGATTCGGGGGGTGTCTGGAGAATGAGATGATTGGTCAGAATGGTATGAGGAGTAGGTTGGGGTAACTTGGGAAGCATAAGAGGGTGTGGAAGTGATTGGGTCAGGGTTATTGGATAATATGGGTTGAAAAGGGGGTTGAGAAAAATTAGAAGAGTTATGAAAATTATTGGATGGGGATGGTTCTGAGTCGGCAAATTCATCGGGGGTTTCAATATTCGGGTTATTGAGTTGTGAGATGGAATATAAAACTGAGATGTGTGAATTAGTGTCGGAATTCATGCCTGATGTTACATTACTAGATGGAAAATCGGGTGGCGGAAAAGCAAAAAGTGGTATTATTGGGATTGGAGAGGTAAGATTGGTTGGGTATGAATTTGATCGGTGTAGTGATCCAAGTTGGCGGCTCATCGTGGGCTAAAAAAATGATTATTTTGAGACTGAAAAGCGGT